TGTCTATTTAGTTTAAATCGAGATTTAGCTTGGCAATTAACTATTTAATATCATTAATGGCGTTGTAAATGTAATATGCAGATCTTACACTAACAGAGGCTGAGATGAAGAATTACACTCTTCAGGAAATAGAAAAAATTATGTTGTTTAATGGTGGAACTCTCCAGGGCATTGATAATTTCCCACAGCCATCAAGAGAAGGTATTGACAATTCCAATAGATTAATTGTTGACGAGATGAGATATAATAGGGACGAGTTGGAAGAGAAACATACTGAATGGGTTGCAAAGCTTACTACTGAGCAGAGAGGTATATACGAGGAAATCACAAGTGCTGTTTTCAAGGATTTAGGTGGTGTTTTCTTTGTTTATGGATTTGGAGGAACAAGGAAAACATTTTTATGGAAAACTCTTGCAGCTGCTATTAGATCTAGAGGACAGATAGTTTTAAATGTCGCGTCCAGTGGTATAGCATCATTGTTGTTAGAAGGAGGAAGGACCGCACACTCTCGGTTTTCAATTCCATTGAATCCTGACGAATTTGCTCTATGCAAAATCAAACCTAAGTCAGATTTAGCAAATCTGATAAGAGAAGCCTCTCTGATTGTCTGGGACGAAGCCCCAATGATGAGCAAGTTTTGTTTCGAAGCTTTAGATAAGAGCTTCTCAGACATTATCAGAAACACAAACAACAAGGTGTTTGGTGGTAAGGTTGTGGTGTTTGGTGGTGATTTCAGGCAGGTTCTACCAGTTATAATTGGCGCAGGAAGGGCAGAGATTTTCATGTCAGCACTAAATGCCTCTTACCTTTGGGATCATTGTAAAGTGCTAAGATTAACGAAAAATATGCGCCTCCTATCTGGCAACTTAAGTGAAGATGAAGCTACACATATCCAACAGTTTTCAGATTGGTTATTAGCAGTTGGTGATGGTAGGATTAATGAGCCAAATGATGGTGAGGCACTTATCGATATCCCAGAAGATTTGTTGATAACAAATGCAGATAATCCTATTGAAGCTATTACTAGAGAAGTTTATGGAGATCCTACTAAGCTGCACGAAATAAACGAATCAAAGTTTTTCCAACAAAGAGCTATTTTAGCACCAAAGAATGAGGATGTGAACACAATTAACCACTACATGCTGGAGCATTTGAACAGTAAGTCTACTATTACAATTTGCTTACAGTTTTACTTACGTATATTACAAGAGTTCGATTTGACCCTACTTTACTAAAAAACTTTATATTTTTTTGGTTGAAGGTGAAGAAAGGGTATATCTAAGTGCAGATAGCATAGATCCAACAGATTCAGACGCATTAAAGAATCCCGTCATCACTCCAGATTTTTTAAATTCTATCAAGCTATCCGGAATGCCACACCATGCCTTGCGTTTGAAAATTGGAGCACCAGTTATGTTGCTAAGGAACATTGACCCTAAAGGTGGGCTATGCAACGGGACAAGGCTACAAATTACTCAGCTGGCTAATCATGTTGTGCAAGCTAGAGTGATAACAGGCGACAGAAGTGGTGAGATTGTTTTAATCCCCAACATCAACCTAACACCTTCTGATACAAAGCTGCCATTCAAAATGCGTAGAAGACAGTTTCCCCTATCGGTTGCATTTGCTATGACCATCAACAAGAGTCAGGGACAATCTCTAGAACGCGTAGGTCTCTACTTGCCTAAACCTGTTTTCTCTCATGGCCAGCTTTATGTTGCATTGTCTAGGGTTACATCGAAGAAAGGCTTAAAAATAATCATTCTAGACAAAGAGGGAAAGATTCAAAAGCAAACAACAAATGTTGTTTTCAAAGAAGTCTTTGAAAACATTAACTGACTAACATCGAGTCAGACCGTTTGGGAGCAACAAGGTTTAACGTTATATTTCTTATACTTTGTATTTTAAGTTAATTATATCTTGCATAGCTAAATACAGATACATTTTTACACACGGATTGAAACCAGCTCTTTCAAATTCTTTTCCAGGTTCAGGTTAAATATCAACAGAGGACACATTTGAAGCTAACCGATGAACAAGAAAGTTCAATTCTGATTCAACAGTTTCATTACTTCCACTTCATATTCTCAATAAATTAGAATTAGTATAGTGTCATTTTAGTATTACATGAACACTTAAACCGATTTTCATTTTGGTTAAACAACTCAACTGAGATTCATCTTTCCTTCCTACTATTATCAAGTATTGACGAAAACAACCAAATAAACACAAACACCAAACAAACTAATCAAACGAAACTAAGCTATGAGTTTTAAAAAATCTAACCTCAGCTGGACAATGTCTGACGTTCCATGTATAGGTGCCATTAAACTATACAGGTTCCATATAGAGATGTCAGCAATATGTTTCTCTGCAGCTACAATGCAAGATTAATCCAAGACTCTCAGAACTTTCACATTTCCACATATAAACTAAAGAGAAAACAAAAGTTTACAACCAGATATTTATATATACTGAATTACATAATATTGTTGACCTTATAATTCTGCATATGATCAGATATATTCTACAAATTCGACTCTCGCAAACACAAGTGAGTACCAAACTGTAAACTGAAAAGTATTAAATCAAAACAACAGATTCAATAATCAGTTTCAAGTTTATGAAGTGATACACAACAGTGAGCCAAATATATTAACAATCTACAATTACATGAGGCCTCAAATCATACGTATGTTAATATTTGTTTTCATAACCCATTTTTCCCAAACTATTCAATGAACTAACTTCAGTTACATTGGTAAAAACTTTTCCGAATATCTATATTAACATAATTGGTAAAACAGAAACTATTACGGATCCAAATAAAAGAAAATACTTATCTCTCATAAATTCCAATGCAATTAGTTCCACCTGCAATTTCTGCAGATAAAAAAAATCAGTTTGTACGATTATATCATCGATGCCTTTAAAACAATAATTTGAAAACATAATCAAGCTATATGAATAACCCAAATACGGAAGCAATATGAATCGGCAAAGACAACAAATTACAATAATTTGACAACAATTTTCAGTTACATTTCCAGAAAAAAAAGACATAAAACTAAGTATATTAACCTTACTCAGAAACAATAGAAACAGATACGGAGCCTGCAATTCATGTTGATTCCATGTAAGGATTCAAGAAAATAAGCTATAACTGATTCGAATTCTTAGATGTGATTTAGGAGATAGAAGGCAACAACGATTTTTTGTCTTTTCGTAAGTTTTTTCGCTTTTGGTTTTCTAAACAATAACCTGTCGGTGGATAAACGACAGACCAAAGTTTTGGGCCTGGACTTAACTTTTATATTATATATGGGTCTGAAACAAAACCAAATTTATGTTCACGATGTCCAACAATTTTTAGAAGACAAAATCGGGTATTAACTTGATTTTAATGAAAATGTTTTATGTTTTTTAAAAAAATACACTTCTCTATATTAAATGATTCTAAAAGTAACAGTACAACAGAAAATACTAATAAAGAAAACATGCTCCAGCTGAAAACAAAACTTTTAACTATAATTCAACTCGATCTCTAGGTATAAAAATATGCTAAACATATCAAAAATACTTAGTTAAGTGAAATATTATTTTTTATATCTCAAACAAGTTTATAATTATTTCATACTATATCATTGAATATAAAACCACAATATTAAAATACGTAAACTAAATATTTCTCTATATATACATATACATATGAAAAAATAAAAAATATAGTTTTACAAAAAAAAACATTGAACCCGCGGTGTACCGCGGGTCAAAATCTAGTACTTTTCAATTAATGGGTTTTTATATGAGAGCAATTATGAGATGAGAGAAGAAGTTTTTGAACTCGAGGTTGATGTTATTATATATTGGGCTTTATTGGTCAATAAAGCTCATAGTCCGATTATGATGACTCGTACTCTCGACCTATCTTGATCAAGTTTAAAACGGATATCGTAGAAAAGAAGTAACTTAAAAGAAAATAGGGACGTGCTGATTCGTCGTTACTTCTTGTCAACCTATTTTAATGAAGTGTTGCGTTGTTGCTTTAGGAGATGGGAAAGTGAGGTACTATAAAATATTGACGAAAGACAAAATGAAAATGGCAAACACCTTCTTCGCTGCTGATGATTTGGGACCAAAACGATTGCTAACTCTAATGGAGGATCGAAATCGGATCAGAGGCTTTCTAAGAGATGAACAACTCGTGAAGTATGCTTCCATTCTTCTCTACATCATTCTCTCTAGCTGTCAAATCTTCTTCAATAAGGTTTTACTCAAAAAATCTCACCACGTTCATATGTTCTTGGATCTATATATGTTCTCTAATTTGCAGTCTCTTTTTGGTCAAGATTTCATTTTCTTAGATCTAAGGCTTTTTAGTTACTAATTAGATTCGGTTCAGTTTTTTTGTTTTTTCAGGTTTTTGAGACTTAGCTTTGAACTTGAACTGAAATAAAGCTGTTAAGCTTTTGACAGTTTTGGTTTAGTTGTTGAGTTCAGTTCTATCATACAAATTTTGTTACATTAGGTTTTAGGTTTTAGTTTTTTCTCCCCTAAGGATTGATTTCTGACTTTATATTTGATGATGATGCAGTGGGTATTGTCATCTAAGGAAATAAACTTCCCTTACCCACTTGGATTGACATTACTACACATGACCTTTTCCTCTGTTTTGTGTTTTCTCCTCACCAAGGTTTTTAAGGTAACATCACTCATTGGTTATAATAGTGACATTTTCTTTGATATATGATAATAATATACCACTCAAAACACTTTAAATTCTAATTTTGAGTGTCCTTAAAAAAGGTTATGAAGATTGAGGAAGGAATGACATTAGACATGTAAGATAGAAAGGAGACTTAATTCGTATACTTTTTTTAGATTTGCTTTGGAGTTGTAGGATAACATTTTCAAACTAAAAACTTCCACTCTATGTATACTCAGATATGTTACATCAGTTATTCCAATAGGTGCAATGTTTGCAATGACTCTGTGGTTAGGAAACACTGCTTACCTCTACTTAACTGTTGCATTTTCCCAAATGTTGAAGGCCATTAGTAAGAACTTTAGCTCTTACTAATCTCATTTGATTTACTCATAATGTTATGTATGATTGATTTTTGTAATGAATCATATTAACTTGTGCAGTGCCTGTTGCTGTGTTTATACTTGGAGTTTGTGTTGGCCTTGAGATAATGAGCTGCAAGATGCTTTTGATAATGTCAGTCATAAGTTTTGGCGTTTTAGTCGCGTCTTATGGAGAATTAAACATCAACTGGATTGGAGTTGTTTACCAAATGGGTGGTATTGTTTCAGAAGCTTTGAGGCTAATCTTAATGGAAATTCTTGTTAAGAGGAAAGGCATCAAACTGAACCCTGTCTCCCTTATGTACTATATGAGCCCATGCAGGTATATACATACACAAACTAATTTACCTTTTCAAGATAAATACACCATTGTGCTTGATTTACACTAACAAGTCATGTAGATGATTTATACATTTGTGTTGATGTGTGTGTTGTAGTGCGATTTGCTTGTTCATACCATGGATATTTCTTGAGAGTTCGAAGATGGAGACATGGAACTTTCATGTTCTTGTGTTGAGTCTTAACTCGCTATGTACATTTGCTCTCAATTTGTCGGTTTTTCTAGTGATATCTCAGACAAGTGCACTCACTATACGAATCGCTGGCGTGTTCAAAGATTGGGTGGTTGTTTTGGTCTCAGCTCTTCTCTTTGCCGAGACAAAACTCACAGTCATCAATCTCTTTGGTTATGCCATTGGTAAGGAGAATCATCTTATGTTCATCATAACACACAAAATTGAGATTTTGGATTTAAGAGTTCAAAGTGTGATCTTGTGAATTGTGTCCACTCACAGCCATTGCTGGTGTAGCTGCGTATAATAACCATAAGCCAAAGAATGGTGAAAGCACAACGTTGGTTTCTCGATCTCCGAAAAACTCCAACAAGGAACCCAGTGGCCCATGGTAGCATTTGTCATCACAAGAGAGGTAACACACATAAGACGGAACCATTTTTTCTAATTAGGATATATTTTTTTTATCTATCACAATGTTAATTATCATTCTATTCAAATTTTCCGATCATTTTTGAAGGATTAGTAAAAAATTATCTATGTAATTTTACGTGTATGTAACCTATATAATTTTGACCCCTATGAATAATTTTGATTGGCTATATTTGTTTACTTATTATCTCTGTATTCAAAACTTAACATTTTATCCAAACCAAAAAAAAAATGTTACAGTATCTCGATTTTGTAATGGGCTTCTCATAAATATACTTAAAGCCCAATAACGGTTACCTTTGAAAATTCGTTACAAGGCACGAATGCGTCGACGTGGCAGCTAGAGTTCCAGATCTCATTTCGCATCCATGACGTGACACGTGGCCTCTTCCGTTCACAGAAGAAGAAAATACTTTTTCTTCAAACTGTTTTGTGTATCCAACAAGTTTCGGCGAAACCCAGTTTCATTTATATGTGTGTCTGTGAATTGTGATGGCTTCTTCTAGCAGTTTAACCATACAATCAAGCTTTCTCTCAGCTAGAACAAGGCTCAATTCCGTCTCCAAGCAGAGTCTATCTGGGTTCGCTTGTCGTTCTCTTTCAAAACCCAGAAACTTGTGTCTCTCTGTTCGTTCTATGGGTTCCTCTAATTCTTCTTCTCAGAAACCAGACAACGTCCAAGGTTTTATTTAAAAAATCTAACCTTTTTGAATTTCTTCTATCTCTCTCTGTCTATTCGACGATGTCCCATTAATCCCATTTCACGTTGTGTCCTGTAATTAGCGGAAAAAACGGTTCCTTTCTTTGTGGGTTAACGAGTTTTGTCCATCAATTGATTTGGCTTTATCCAAAATGTTATGTTTCCTGTTTTGGAATAGTGATTTAGGTCAGGAAGTTTAGTCAATTGGTTCTGAGGAAGTTAGTGAAAAATGGCTTAAGAGCTTCTAACCAATCCATGCCTTGCATTTCTTTGTGTAGAGGACAGTGTTGCTTTCAGTGTCATGTTGTTTAGATAACTAGTATTAGTAAGCAGAGTTCTAAGATTTTTATGATGGTGCAGCGGCTGAGAAGAGTGACTTTGCTTCTCTAAGTGAAAATGAATGGAAGAAACGGCTAACACCGGAACAGTACTACATCACTAGACAGAAGGGAACAGAGAGAGCCTTCACCGGGTATGTGATGAATTATTGAATGCTCATTGAAGTTGATAGCCTTTTTAACATCATTTTGGAGTCAGAACTATATGTAGTTAACATCTTCATACAATTTAAAGAGTCTGCTCTTTTTGTATTTTAGGGAGTATTGGAACACAAAGACACCAGGAGTATACAATTGTATATGTTGCGATACGCCTCTATTTGAGTAAGTTGTTATAGTGGCAATTTGAAATTTTACTTTTATATGTAGAGAAGTTGAGCTAATGAAAGCTAAAATTCTCAAATTCGTACAAGATGATGTTTCATTCATATTAATAAATGGTTGTTAACAGATCAAAGTGATGATTTATTGCAGTTCATCAACAAAGTTTGATAGTGGAACAGGGTGGCCATCTTATTACAAACCAATTGGAAGCAATGTGAAGACAAAGCTAGACCTCTCTATCATCTTCATGCCTAGACAAGAAGTGGTCTGTGCTGTTTGTAACGCCCATCTTGGCCATGTCTTTGATGATGGTCCACGCCCAACCGGAAAACGATATTGCCTCAACAGGTTTACCATCCATCCTTAATATTTATTCCCAGGGTTAACCTGTGCTCTCTGTTTTATAAAACCTTTATGTTTTGAAAGTTTCCACGCATACACTATTAGTAAGACATTACATGTCTACCATATCTACCTAATCATTCTATATTATTGAGTAATAATACTGTTCAATTTATAACTAAACAATAATAATCATATAGTAAACTTGCCTAAACATTAGCATCATTGTTTATGAAGTAACAAATGAAGTCTAAAGATCAATTTTTCTGAAACCAAGAACTTATTTTCCTTATATTTGATCAAGAATGCTTTTGACTTGGTTCTTTTTTCTAATGTGGAGGTTTCTGTTTTTTGTGCTTTGTGTAGTGCTGCTCTGAAACTTAATGGATTGGAGAAAACAAGAGATTGAGAGTTTCTGGTACAAGGATTTGTTCATATTACATAATATATAGTATCCATTGTAATTCCTCGTATTAAGTCGTTGTATTATAAGTCAACTTTAATCCATCAAAAGGTTTTACCTTTGAGTTGATTTCACGATCTCCTAGACAGCACATTCTTAAATATGCTTACTCCAATCTCTTTCCCACGTCTTCACCATATCCATTTCTTAATTTCATACATGAGTGTGTCTGTGTGTCTATATTTGGTTTTGGCTAGTAGTCTATGTCAATGAACAAGGAGCTTGTAGAACCAACAATGGGGAAAGAGAATGGCAACGTTGTGGTTTTGGATTTCTGGGCAAGTCCTTACGCGATGAGGACGAAGATTGCGCTGAGAGAGAAAGGAGTTGAGTTTGAGGTTCAAGAGGAAGATCTGTGGAACAAGAGTGAGCTGTTGTTGAAATCAAACCCTGTTCACAAGAAAGTCCCTGTTCTTATCCACAACAACACATCAATCCCTGAATCTCTTGTTCAGGTTCAGTACATCGATGAGACGTGGACAGAGGCTGCCTCTTTCTTCCCCACTGATCCTCAATCTAGAGCCACTGCAAGGTTCTGGACTGATTTTGCTGATAAAACGGTAACTTTCACATGTCAGTTTTCAGTTCCTCTGTTTCTTGTTCGGTTTGTTTCTATCTCTACTTGGTTGTGATTCAATTCCCCAAAATGCAGATATCGTTTGAAGGAGGAAAAAAGATTTGGGGAAACAAGAAAGGAGAAGAACAAGAGAAAGGCAAGAAAGAGTTTATAGAGAGCTTGAAGATTCTTGAAGCTGAGCTTGGAGACAAATCTTACTTTGGAGGAGAGACCTTCGGTTACGTAGACATAGCTCTTGTACCATTCTACAGTTGGTTCTACGCACTCGAGAAATGCGGTGACTTCTCTGTCGAAGCTGAGTGTCCGAACATCGTCGCTTGGGGAAAGAGATGTGTTGAACGAAACAGTGTTGCTGCTTCATTGCCTGAATCTGAGAAAGTTTATCAACAAGTTCTTAAGCTCAGACAGATTTTTGGTGTTGAATGAATGCAGTAAACACTGAAAAGTGAAAACAAAGACTTGTAATGGTTTTCACTTTCTTTCTTTTGTCTTTGTTTGTTTCTCGCTTTGAAAATTCTTTTTGAGAAAGTGGTTTTTTTTTTCCCTGGTGTATCTATGATTCATCTGTTTAAAAATGGTCTATGAATGTTTTATGTTCTATACTTCTATTTATCAAAAAAGAAAAATGCAAATGCTATCAGCAGTCACCAAATACTTGCCATTAAAATCACATTTCAATGATACTTCCAACCAGGGGCGGACCCAGGAAAAAAATGCAAATGAGGTTTGAACCCATGACCTCAAGCAATACATGGGGGCACTTTAACCATTTTGACACTTATAACTTTAATTTTAATGCAAAATTTTTAGTTTTTAATAGGTTGGTGGGTGCAACTGCTCCCACCTTCTTCTATGTGGGTCCGCCCTTGCTACACTTAATCATGATGAGGAAATGACTAACCGGTTAACTGGGAACAGAAGATTTCGGTTGACCGAAGTAAATTTAACATATCACTGATCAGTTCAGGACATATAACCAAAACCGAACCAAACAGTCAAAATCGAAAAGACATGAAGGAAACAGAGCCAAAGTCAACTTGCCGAACAATCATAATCAGTCAAGATTTGTTGATAAAATCGGCAAGTCATCCTTGGCTCATCCTCATTCTCTATTTTTCCATGCAAGACTCCATGATACAATGGTGAATGGTGCATGTGACTCTCTCATCATCATCATTGTCTTTTTTCTACCTCTCTTATTGTATTGTGAAACTTGTTATGGCAAAACCCTTACTCATGATGAAGGTATTTATAGAAATATGTAATGAGATATGTGTGTCTTAATTTAATTGAAATGGCTTCTCTTATCCATGCATGCATGCAGCAAAGAATAAAAATAATTATGAATTTTGACCACTATATCGTATAATATTGAAGAATATAATCACTTTAGAAGATTGGCTGACCTTTTTTATATTTATCATACTCGAATTCCAATTTTGTATGAAGAAACAATATATTCGAACGTCACTACACCAAAGGCATCGTATAAAGCCTGCGACACAAAATCCACATGCCGTAATTTTCTTACTGTTCGATTCATATTCTTGTGTGGTTGATCGACAAAAAGAACTTATCGATCGTCTAACAAGAAAACTGAAAGATTATTGTACTATGCAAGTTTCTTTTTTTCCCCGGAGAGTTGCCTCTAATTTCGATTGTTTTTGTAGGGATAAAATTACTGGAATATAAATTACTGGAATATAAATGGTTGACAAAAATGGAATACGTATAGAAAATTCGAGATTTTCTTTTTGATATGAGAATATATTATATGGAGACTCATCTTATTGTCAAAGGAGCTCACTAGTAAGTAACATGTAAGTAATACAATGCTGTTATTTCACTCTCACTTTTTTTTTCTATCACTATCTAACAGTCACTGGAATTGCGATTTCTGTTATAGCACCCATTCGGTAAGTTGCAATAAACCGGTTTTATATGAGATATCCAAAAAAACCGGATTCACCTCCTGTACCTACATATAGGTTTCATATTATGAAACTTGTCAACCACAATAAATTAACGAAACCATGGGATCTACACAAAGGGTTTGGTTTAGGAAAATGAAATGGTTATTTAGTTCTTTCTTTACTATGGCCAGATTTGTAACTTCAAGGCATGTTTGTGCCGTGAGATTGGGTATGTTGTTGAATGTGTGCTGGTCTTTCCAAGTGGTTTCTCCATTGTCCTTCCTTTGTACGTTAGTTTAGTTTGTACTTTGTAGGCTTGAAGTGTGTTTTGTTAATCCGGTAGAAGAATTCGAAATTAATGGTATGATAACTAACCAGTGTGTGAACGCAACTCAAGCTCGTTCGATGTTTTAATTCATAATTCCAAGCTTGTTGATAAATATAGCAGCAAAGTTAATATTTATTCTATCTACTGATAGATCACATCATGAGATCATGAAATGTCACATCCGATTGGACGAATAGATACCAATTCGGTCAGACCAAAGGTAAGATAAGATTCTTCGGATATTAAAACATCCTTTTTGGTCAACTTTATAAGCACTCATTTTATTAATCTCTTTTATTAATCTCATTTTCTTTTTAATAACATATTTTCATATAAGAAATTTTTTAAAGTAATACAATCAATTTACAAAAGAGCATAGCTTTGTCGGCAGTTTTTAGTGAGACGATCACTGACTTCTTTTTGTCATCAACCACAAGACTACGAGTCCAATCGTAAGAAGAAATGAAAAAAAAAAACTACGACAGGTGGATTCTAATGTCGCAGACAAAAACGATATGCCTTTGAAAGTAGTGAGTTACGAATATTAATTACTCATACAAAAATGGAATTCGAATATGATAATATAAGGTGTGGCAATCTTGTAAAGAAATCATATTCTTCATTATACGGCTGTGGTCAAAATTCCATTATTATTTGTATGCTTTGCTGCATGCATGGATAAGAGAAGACTATTCTAATAATAATTGCATATTAGTTTATGCATAAACTTCAAAAACTTAAACTTGTCTATAAATACCTTCATCATGAGTAAGACTTATGCCACAACAAGATTACAAGACAATATGAGATGTATAACAAAGAAAAAAAAAAGAGAGAAAGAGAATGATAGGGTGATGAGAGTCACATGCACCATTGTATCATGGAGTCTTGCATGGGAAATAAGAGAATGAGGATGAGCCAAGGATGACTTGCCGATTTTATCAACGAATCTTGACAGATTATGGTGGTTCGGCAAGTTGACCTTGGCTCTGTTTCCTTCTCTTCTTTTCGATGTCAAACTCCAGATATGTATTTGTATCATCACCATGGCAATTTGGTAAGGTATTGTGATTATCATATGTATTTGAATCATTATCATGGTACAATTGGTAAATGTTTTACAGGCTCGACATATATGTGTTGCTAAAGACTGAGAACTAAAGTACATTGTAAAAGAATATCAAAACAGGCAACATGGGGAAAGTGAAAGACTATATGGAATGGTTTTAAGGGTGATCTAAGAAAAAATATCAAGAGGGAGAAGAGAGAGCATGGTCATCAAGGCAGTAGGAAAAAATGAAATTAGAAGAAACATACACTCCCAACAGATTGGAGATGGACAAGTGATCATTTAATTTGAGAATGTTTCCACTCTTACTATTTCATGTCAAACTCTAGAAATCCATAAAATCATCAGCTTGAACTTTCCATTGAAATAGGCTTTTTGGTATGCAAATATCTGATCATTGCTAAATAGCATTAGCTAGCTAGGGTTATTATGATAACCAACACTTATAATTGTAGCCATAGCTAGCTCTTACCAACTAAGGATTCATTAGATATACTACTAACTCATTCTTCTGATATTTACTATTAAGTATTTTGCAAGTAACCTTTTGTTGATTCCTCCTCTCACTCTATGATCTATATTCATACTATAGACACAACCTTTTTTACCTTAGAAGCTGACCAGTTTGGGGCAGAGTACACAACAAAGGCATCAAAAGAGAGAGAGAGATGTTTTGCCTTGTTTAAGTGACAACTGAACATAAACAACTTTAGAGGAGATATAGCCAATCAAGGATTACAGCACCAATCAAAGGATTAGGGATTAACATTTAGTTTGCTGCTATGAAACGTTTGGTTTTAGTATGAGGGACACGCTTCTTGAAGAGAATACGGAAGCCACACTCTCTGCATTTGAACACATCTCCACGCTTCAAATTGTTCTCTTCTCCACAATCTTCCAAACCAAAATCATTCAGACAAACAAGTTAAGCAAACAACACTATAGAACAACAATTTTCATTTATTTTTTTGGGTCTGTTTTAATGTATGACTGTCTGAGGCTGTTTGGGAAATTAGGTTAACTTTAAGCAAAAGCGAAGCTCCTCCTTAATAAGATCTCAAGCCAGATAGATCAAACAATCTGATTGACTTATGCCATTTCCTCCTAACTAAGCCAATTACGAAATTGCCAAAGAGATATGTGAAATTGTCCGATTAAAAAATAAAATAAAAAGTGAAAATTCTATGAAATGTATTCGAGAGGAAGAAGATGCTTATGGAGCTTTACCTCCGCAGACATAAATCACATCAGGATCGGGCTTGGATGCCATGATTCTGATAATTCGAAAGAGCAAGCAAGCGAGTGAAGAAGAGATAGTGAAGAGGAATGAGAGACGCTAGGGTTTTTATGCAGAGTTAGGGTTAAAAATACTTATAGGAAGCTGCCCAACATTGCCCATACGTAAGGGCTTTAATAAAAACATTTAATATATGGGCTCACACTACAAACCCATATGATTTAGATCTAAAAGCATCGTCAACCCACCTCTATATCTGTCTCTAAATTCTATTTTATAAAATTTTAAAAATATATAAATACATCAGATATTTACAATAATTTTTTTACTACTATTAAAAAAATTGAGAAATACATTGGAGCTAAGGTCTTGAACACTCAACAATGTGTAGATTTTTCAATATATTTTGATAAGTATTCAGGATTTAACACTAAACAAACATAAGCTTTATCTTTCAATCCAAAAATTTTTAAATTATAAACAAAATTCAAAATAAAAAACCTTCTAATATTTAACATGCATTTTTTTTGTTCAATAAGTTGCTATTGATATCTTTTTGACTGAAATAATTATATATAATTTTTCGACGATCGTAAAATAAATATACAGTGTTTTAAAAATCGCTAATCTTAAAACTTTATTTTTTATTATAATTTAAAAATAAGATAAAATAATACGTAAATAACGATCGTACATATATGTTTGAAGAGTTTTTTATTTACATTTAATAGATTTTTGAAATTTGATAAGTTAAATTAAACTTTGAAATTTTGATTTAAGATTTTATAGATTATATATAATTATAAAAATTACAAAACCCTATTACACATAACCCCAATATATATAAGAGAGTAATGAATATAAGGACGTGGTTGTCCCGTTGATATTCCTTTGATTTGGAAAAACTCAAAATAATGGGTCCTCATGCAACACAAACCAATAACAAGTAACAACCATATTAAAGTTTCACACAGTAGCAATGGCTGCTGAGAATTCTTATTAAACTGTTTTAATCATTGAAGAACGAAAAGCTGTGTATAGTTCAATGTATCTATATTGAAACCCATATGATATGTTTTATGTTATAAAATTAGAATATAGTTTTCTTGGTGGGCACCATTATGATGATTGTTACGTTTTGATTTCAGTGAACGTTGCTACATGTGACCATTTCAAAGTTGATGAGGTTTAAATCTAATGCTTTAAACTTGGACTGATCCCAAAATGTGGGGTTTAAGTTTTGGAGATTAGTGATTATAATATACTCCTCAAAGAGCTAATGACAATATGCATTGCACCTCAAAGAAGAAACCATACAACATACCCTATATATATATATGTCATTGTTATTATCAACAAACTTCATAAAAGAGTAGTATAAAATTTAGCACATTAATTAATTATGACACTTTACAAAAAAAACAAAGTACATATATAACAGAAACATTTGTCATCTATTGCATTATTCATTTGAAAATGTATACACCTCAATTTTGCATGTATATTTAATTGTATAGAGAGATTTATATAATTTATACATAGAGACGAGAAAATGTTTCTCTTTCTGTTAGAGGTAGTTGTGACAAAATGCAACTACACATCACATGAAAGGTCATATTCATCCAATCTTCAAATATTTCTATTTTTTTCTAAGTACTCCAGTTTGATATATATATATATATATATATATATATATATATGCCCTTGTTGGTTGGTTATATTAATTTCTCATTTATGATTTTATCATCACTACTTGTATTATTTAACATTTCTTTTTTTTGGAAGTTGTTAGTGTTTTTTTTTTTTAAGGGTTATTAGTGTTACAACTTACAGCATACAAGAGTTAGATTGGTAAACTCTTTACTAAGGAGTAAAATGTGATTGAACTTCACATCTTATGTATATATTTCATTTTTGACGATAAATAAATTTAAAATTACATATAAAGAAAGATTAAGAGCTGAACAGCCTATATAACTAGTTGATTTAATACCATTAACTAAAATTTCGTTAAGTTCGATGTCGTAAGTGACATTACATGATGTTCAATCATGGGTTAGCACAATATTTTTAGGAAGATCCTCATGTTTCTCCTAAGATCTCTTGGCTTTAAAATTTACTATTATATATATATATATATATATATATATATATATTTGGCAACTTGTGTTTTAAAAATGCCAACTTATAATAATTATCATATATCTGCGAATATGACTTATCATATGAATCCAAAACAAAACGACCACATGTCTTTGTTTAGAACCAAAATAAACGGTTCTTTCATCAGGTGGTCTTCTCGTTTTTTCGTAATGTACATATATATATATAGCATAAAATGAAATATATGGTTAGTTACATTGGGAAAAAATTTAGTAGAACATTGGTGTTATATATATATATAATGGTATGATTGTTTTAAAAAAATATTTGTTATGAACCGAAAGGAACCACCAAATTAATTTGCTTTGATTGATTGAATCAGATGATAATTGAAGATAGTATTTATATACATAACAAAGTCAAACTTAATTGGCAACTAAAACGATCAAATATATAAAATATAATCAACTTCTTTTAGAAAGCTAGCTAAAACTAAAAAAAAAAAAAATCAAAAAATGTACCCTCTCTGGTTTGCAAAACACAACGCATAAAAAATCATAAAAAGGAACGTTGCAGCTCATGTATTGCATAAGTTTTTGATATGTAGTCATGTCATTTAATGTTTTATTTATCTAGGTATATACTTTTATAAATCACCCATAATAATAATAATAAAGAGTTGATTCTGTGTTTTAAAAAATCATACCAAATTAAGTTTCAATCGGACTATTTTTTTTTCTTTTTATAATAATCGAACTACGTTTACGAATTAGATTGAAGCTTAACATGTAAACAACCTGATCACGAGCAGCCCACAAATTCAAAAATACATGTCATCGAATCAATATATAGTAATAATGATATTCATACAGTACGTATATTGATTATTAAGAAGTTAATGGTGTGTCATTATTGACGAATAATGAACTAAAACTCATTACTACTACTACTACTATGTTAAAGTTTTTAATTAATTAAGCCAAGGGGTCGAGAGAGAGCAAGCATATGTAAAGAGCGACAAAGGTGGCTCCTATGCTCACCACGTGGCAGACATATAAATAAAGATTTGGATCCAACTCCTATATTCTTTTTAACATATGCCAATCACACTCTTTACTTCTTTCTTCTTTTCTTTTTTTTTTTTTTACTTTTTGACCACAAAATGTTAACTAGTATATATGTAAGACTGTAAGTTTCAATAAAAATATAAAACCTTTTCCTCAAAATATTAAAAAAAAAAAACTCGGTTATTACGCAGGTTAACGTAGTTTTAAACTCTATTGCATTAAAAAAAAATTAATAGCTCATAATATTTTTTTTTTTTTTTTTTTTTTAACTTATGGTAAATCTCCAGACCTATGGAAGGATCCAAAACTAATCCCTGGGGAGATGGTATCCCACGGGTAGAGTCTACCCAGGTTTTCAAATGGGCCTTAAGCAAGAGGCATATACCCATGTGGCTAAAGGGATAAATCTAGCAATTCTGCGTCTGAGGAGAATCGATCCCTGGCCTAGACCAACATGACGACTCTTCCACCGGATTAGAACCAGTAGTCCACCACCTCCAATAAAAATATAAAACCCTTTCCTCAAAGTGATTAAAAAAAAAAACTCGGTTATTACGCAGGTTAACATTAGTTTTAAACTCTATTGCATTAAAAAAAATTAATAGCTTATAATATGATGTGATAAATTATACAGTATTATAGATGTTGATGTAAAAAAAGTCGGTTAAACTTTGGTTTTGGGCGGTTGCTTAATTCCTTTCGTTTTTTTTTTTTTTTTTGTTAAAAATCCATTCCCATATGCCAATTAGTAGCTCCTTCATGGCATTGGCTAGCTGTTATTATGTACTTTTAATATTTTATACAACGATCCGGTCAAACAAAGTTATGAAGGCATTAATGCAAATGAATTTATTATTATCACTGCCAAAAAGGTTAAAAGAAATCTAATGCATGTAGTACAATCTAATATGGTAAATCACTGAACTGAATATACATTGATCTTGATGCAGCTTTTTTATTTTTACTTTTAATATTTGATGTAAAACAACAATACAAAAAGATCTTTAGTTTTCGAGCTAGGTAATGTAGGTTTCTTATTGAAAGATAGTTCCATTTTAGCCATTTCAAGATGTTTGACGTTTTAAACATTGTATGGTTTTACGTTGGGTTACTTAGAGTAGTGACGACGCACGCACCTAATAACACAACCAAACAATCCATCGAACTTCTCTACATTCGATATTTTGATTTTAGAGTTAGAAAGTCCAATTATTTGAACAAATTTATTTTTCATGTTTATGGTCAACAACGAAATTTTTGATTCCTTATTTTATAAAGCCGACAAGCCGTTACTCCTTCATATACTGAATATGGTTAAAGAAAAAAAAAATGTTTATTCTCTTCTCTCTCTTTATTAAAAAAACTGGTTTCTGCTAATGACTTTTATCGTCACTCTCCTCCACACAAACCAACGTGTTCACTATTTGCTACCCAACGTTCTCTCTTTTTTTCTTTTAATCGACAAGTCAAAATAATAAAATGATAAAGAGTTATTATATGAAGGTTTTGAGCTTTATAACATTGAATAAAACACACAACATTTCTGTTTATAAGAAATTTCTCTTTTATAATTCTATATTTTCAGGGGGAAAATTAAAGAAAACCATGTGCTTATTAGTGCTTACAACACAACCAAAAAAAAAAACAATAATAATCCTATTCATTAAATAAAAGAAATGACTCAGTGACATTGGGAGGTCAAACTACATCTCATCTTTGTCCTTTCACACAAGTCAACCCTTATTTACTCCAAAACACACAATTAATATTACGACACTAATCTAATCACGCTAATTAATTACTCATTTCTCTTCCTTTATATATAACTCCTCATTCATCACCTTCTTCAACCTTATAATAATAACAAACTTCACCGGAACAAAATGGAAGACGACGGTTATTACCTCGACAACGATCTCGATCTCAGCTTCACCTCCACCGCCACAGATCGTACATTCACCTCATCAAGCGCTAGATCCAGTCTCGCACGCTCTAGCCTAACCTTAAGCTTCAACGACAGACTCTCAACCGCCACAACTCCTTCCACCACCACTTCCTCCGCCGCAGCAACACTCCACCACCGTCGCTACGATCCTCACTGGACAGCCATCAGAGCCGCAACCACCCTCTCCTCCGACGGAAGACTCCATCTCCGTCACTTAAAACTCGTCCGCCACCTCGGAACTGGGAACCTCGGCCGTGTTTTCCTCTGCCACCTCCGTGACTGCCCTAACCCCACCGGATTCGCGCTTAAAGTAATCGACCGTGATGTCCTCACGGCGAAGAAGATTTCACACGTGGAAACAGAAGCTGAGATCCTCTCCATGCTAGACCACCCGTTCTTACCTACACTCTACGCACGTATCGATGCTTCTCACTATACTTGCCTCCTTATAGATTACTGCCCTAACGGTGATATACATTCCTTGCTCCGTAAGCAACCTAATAACCGGTTACCTATTTCTCCGGTTAGATTCTTCGCCGCCGAGGTTCTCGTCGCCTTGGAATATCTCCACGCTCTCGGGATCGTTTACCGAGATCTCAAACCGGAGAATATCTTGATTCGTGAAGATGGACACGTCATGCTCTCAGATTTCGATCTCTGTTTCAAAGCCGACGTAGTTCCTACTTTCCGATCTCGACGTTTCCGGAGACCTTCGTCTCCTCCGTCTTCTCCAAAACGGTGGAGGAGTCGCCGTGGAGTTGGTTGCTTCTCCACGGAGGTAGAGTACGAGAGAGAAGAGATAGTAGCGGAATTCGCGGCGGAGCCAGTGACGGCGTTTTCTAAGTCGTGTGTAGGAACTCACGAGTATCTAGCGCCGGAGCTAGTCGCCGGAAACGGACACGGAAGCGGTGTAGACTGGTGGGCGTTTGGGATATTTCTATACGAGATGTTACACGGGACGACGCCGTTTAAAGGTGGTACAAAAGAACAAACACTGCGGAATATATTATCAAACGACGTGGCGTTTCCGTTAGAAGAGGAAGAAGAAGGTATGGTTGAAGCAAAGGATCTGATAGAGCAGCTGTTGGAGAAAGATCCGAGGAAGAGGCTAGGGTGCGCCAGGGGTGCGCAAGATATCAAAAGGCACGAGTTTTTCCAAGGTATCAAGTGGCCGTTGATCAGAAACTACAAGCCGCCGGAGATCAGAGGTCTGGTGAAGAAGACGAAGGCACATGCTGGTCACGTGACTGCTGCTGTCGTCACGCCACGGAGGAAGAAGAAGTGGTTGTGGTGGGCGTTGTCGCATTTACTGCGGAGTAAAAGCCTGAACAAGAGCAGCAGTAAGATTCAGAGCAATAATAATTACTATCATTATGTGGGTAAAAGCTGTAACGCAAGTGGCAAACGCGTTTAAGGCGTTTTAACCTTTGAAAGGTACCAAAAAAAAAAAAAAAAAAAGGGCGATTGGGGTATACAATTTGAATTAGCGTATGTTAATTTAGCAGTCTCATCATTTTTGAATTTGACATATTTTTTTGTTCGTTGTTTCTAAATTCATACAAGAAACTTTATAAGTAAATTTACCTTTTTCTATAATGTTTTTCCTAATTGCATCCCTTACCAAAAGAAGTTCTAAATTATAACTACCAAACGAATTCAGGGATTGTCTTCTCACATTGGTCTAGCTCAGAAGTGGGAACAGAGAGATTATTTCGAAGAATCTTCTTGGATAATGGGCCTTCTAGTTGGGTCCATTTGTAAACACTAATTGGGCACCTCTCTCTTTGAAGAGGATTTGTGGCATGTAAGCCTTGGTAAAGTTTCCCTTTGCACTGGATTAGAGACAGTAGACACCATGATAAATAGAAGCAAACCATTATTAACACTCTTGATTTTATTAACAAGCTTTTCTTTTTTTGTTATCAAGCTTTTTTTTTTTTTTTTTGTGTGTGTGTGTAATTATTATTAGAGTTATGGGAAATTGAGATTAAGAAAACCAGAAGCAAAGCAAAAATACACATTCAATGCTTTGTCTTCTTAACCACAAAATATATGTGTGTATCTTCTTTTCATGCTCTCTACCTTTCTTCCTTTTCTACTCTTTCTTGTATATTTCACTCTCATATATATATGCAAGTTGTTTGTTCTTGTGATTTTCTATTCCGAGTTATATCTATACCATTCATAGAAGTACCAAATTATCAACATTTTCATGATAATAAACCAATAATGTCGTATATTTGCTTCTCCATATTTAGAGTGATACATGCTACACAGTATACAAAATGCTACACACTTCTAAAAAGTTTTACAAATATGACATAGCCGAAAGTAACTTGTATCAATGAACTTTATATTTAAAGCTATGAGCATACAAAAAGTTTTATAATACTATAAGATATAATAAAATTAATTAATGGTTTGATGATTCGTATGAAACTATACTTCCTTGGAGAATCAGAAAAGAGATCCATGCAAATCCCAATGTCAATTAATGAACCAAAACTCAGACCATGTTCATCTGTTTCTTCTTTCCTTCATATCCAATTTACCTTTTTCCCAAGATTTCTCTTCTTCCTCTTCACTCTTTATATATACACTTCATTCCCTTTTCTACTTATCCACAACTCTCTTCTTTCACCCACCAAAGGGTTTTTTTTTTCTTCTTTTCTTCCTCACATTCTTCTTCCACACTCACAAGTTTCAATCTTTTTTATTTGTTCTCTTTCTTCTTTTCATATTATATAATAAAGCAAAAAACCTTGATTGTTGCAATGGCTGAGTTCAAGAGTAAGTTGAACAAAGGTCACGCCTTTACAAGCAAATGTGCTTCCTTGGTGAAGGAGCAACGAGCTCGTCTCTACATTCTCCGTCGTTGTGCTACCATGCTTTGTTGCTGGTACATCCAAGGCGATGAGTAAATAGATGATGACTCTTCTCCTTTATATATAACATCCCAAATGCTATATATATACACGTAAATCTATATATAAATATATATATCACCCTGTCCTCTATAACTAGTTCTTGAAGCTTCATGGACATTGAAGCTCTCCTTTGGCTGTTTGGCAAAATCCTATCATAAGAATCTTGACTCTGTCTTCTGATATATTCTGGTGCAGCAAAACCCTTTTACAAGCCTGTCGTTTTTTAACCTTAAGGATCAATCTTTTAGGGATTTTTTTTGGGTTTGCTTCATGGGTTACTTTGCATCAGACAAGACAGATACAGAGCAAGAGATTTATCCGCTAATCAAGCCGGAGTTTTTACTGTGTCTCAGACAGACACACTGGAGATGCTAGTTCTTTACGAAATGGAAGATCTTTGAAGGGTTTAGATTGGTTTCACTTTCGACCGGAGAAGACTGTTTTGTTACATCAGTTACATTTTCCTCTGTAAAATTTCAGCTATGTTTCTCTTTTATTGCATCATATATTATAATAAGACCAAATAAATGTCTATGGTTATGTTGAACCATATAGACTAAAACATGTCTCTTTTGATTCTCATATTCTAATAATAATACAACAACAGTTTTCACTTTTCACCATATAACCTACAGATGATAGCTTGCTTAGTCCAAAATTTCATGTCAAATTAGATTTATCTTTAGTTGATCACTCCTGCTCAATCCAGTCTTTGAACAGCAGCATCATGTAAATGGGAACGTTTAATGCCGCGATGACGATGATCATCATGATTGTACGTATCACTCTCTGGATCACAAGTTTGGTTCTTGATTTTGACGTTGATCTCATCAGAGGATCAGACCCACCAGCACCTGCATTTACATCTGAGTCCATCATAAGCTCAATCTGTTCGTTAGCATTCTTTCTAGCCGCTGATCTCAACACCGCGTTACCCCTAGAGAGAAAATAAGAAAACAGGAAAATCAAAACTTGTGTCTGTAGTGAGAATCCACAGGATGGTTGATCTCTTACTTTTCTACAAGAGGTTTATCGCTTTGACGTTTCACAGGAGTTTGAAGAACTTTCTTCACCAGATGCATAGATCCTTCTGCGTCCCATACCATTTCATACTCACAGTTCTCATCTTCGTTCTTCTCCTTCGTGACGCTGCTTAAAAAGCTTGACTTCATAACATTTGAGATACAGTCTGCAGCGTTGTTTAAGAAGCCTATTCCATGATTTGGCCAGAGAAGAAGAGCAAGGAGGGACATAGCGAATAGAGAAAGGTACCTGGTAGTTCAAAATTAGGACTCAGAAATTCATAAATATGCATCAAGGCAATATTCATAAAGCCAAGAATTCTCTGATCAGGAACATACCACATGTAAATGAATAATTGGCACGGAAGGAAGCACAATTGAGTGTGTAACATTTTATCTAGATCAGATGAGTTTTGATGGACGGCGTTAGGAACAGATAATAGCATGAATGACGGATATATATTTCCTTGTTGCCAGCTTATAGTACCTAAAGTATGCTGTAATATGATATTCACTATCAAAGACTGTCCATAGTGGAATCCAAATATTTTGTGGCCATTACTTATTAATGTTACCTCTGTTACATCTCCTGCTTCCGACTTGTGGGTTATAGTGCACTGGTCATGATCATGGCCAGACAGAACGAGCATCTGCGGGAAAAGGAGGAAATGTTGTTGTATAATAATTTGATTTAGTGTTTATTAAAGCTGCGTTTGAAAATTTGGAAGTGACTATTGACAAGAAAGACAGACGGAACTCTCCCATGAACCAAAAAATAGAATTTATCTTACGGGTTTGATCAACTCCAGTAACTTCTTTGATGATTCTGGAGAGACATAATTCTGGTATCTGCATAGGAAGTTTATAAACAAAAATGAGAACAATATATTAGTTGCGTCCTGGTTAAAACAGGATTAAAAAAAATGAATTCAAGTTCTGTATGATAAAATGGAAAGGAAGAAGTTTACATTACTTCTTGATCTTGGAAATGGCGCCAAAACCGCTTTACATGAAAGAGTAGACATTAAAACACAAAACAAAGTGTTCTTATCTGAATTAAACTATAAGTCCAGCTGATAAATCACCTGATCAATGACAGAAACACCACGGTGAGGGCCGCATGCGGTTTGATCAGGCCGATATAATGGGATGTGGGTCAATAAAACTCTAGGATGTGACTGTGCATCTAAAAAGATAAGAAGATTTTATACGTAAGATTCAGAAAGATAGTAAGTGCTAAAGAGAATGCTGAATAACACACACCGGTGGAGACATTTTGTACAAACTTCCAAACTTCTTGTGCCAAATCCTTTTGAGGATTCCCTGCAAAATAGATATCAGCTTTTCAGTTACAGATTCTTGGTTTCTATTTGAGGAAAAATTCTATGCATGTAATACAATATTTAATGATCAGAGCAAAATTTATAATTACCATCAATAGCTTGTGCATCTATACTGATGAACTCAACACCTCCAATCATAAATCTGCGGTTTCTGATCCCAAAAACTTTTTGGTATCGATCAATCACCTGTTGAAATGTGAAGTTACATCAATATATAGGTCGCTGACAGATGTAATATATCTGAGAAAAAAGTGATAAATGTTGTACGTCTTGTTTATGGGACGCCACCCGAGAATAGCCAACATCATGGTTCCCAGGGATGTAAAATGTAGGTATGTCCCCAACCTTGCCTTGTGAATTCAAACCAAATACATGTTTAAATCGGCTTAAAGATTCCTGCCATCTGATTAGATAAGAAGTTAAGCATTTCCACGAACCATTTGAGCAGAAAGAATAACAAGTGAAAAGAGAAGAACGAGGAAAGCTTACTCTTCCTCGGGAAGAAATGGCCCGCCATCGAAATAATCACCTAAAAACAAAACAACATCGGGTTTGAACGGCAAGACAGACTGAACGAACGATCTTCGCATGTTTATATCAGTATAAAACTGAGCAAGCTCTAAAGCAAGCGTCTTTGACGACAAACGAAACGATGTCTTATCCATGAGCTGCATCAAGATAACAACAAGAAACAACACATAATCAGATGATCAAACTAACACACAACCAAAAAATCGATAAAGCATTTGGAAAGCTCGTCACCTGTGGATCAGTAACAATGGCGACTTTAGTAAAATTCCCATCACTCTCCACTCCATGACTCTGTATATAAAAAAAAACTAATAGATATGAACAATCACAACTCAACAGTGACTAAAATAATGACTAGAATCAAGCTTCTGCAGATTTATTGAGATTCTTTACACATTGGCATTGGTCTTCTAATAATGTTGCATCAAATCTATTTTTAGATCAGTTAACAATTACTTTCCCAATAATAGTCTACCAAAAAACTCGGATTTCAATTCCAAAGCTTCGTTCTTTTACATTTTGCAGTGACATTTGGACGATTACATGACGAAACTTTCGCAACTTTCAGAGACAAAATAAGCAAATACACAATCGAAGTCGAGCTAAATTCACTGAATCCCCAAAATTGATCATCAGTCATTGAAAAAGGAAACTTTTTAAGAGAGAGAGTGAGACCTTATGGTGAGGCCAAGAACAAGTGAAGAGAGAAGGAACCCAGAAGGCGAACATTTCTCCGTAGAGGATCGTGGCAGCCCAAATGAGACATAACGCCACCGTGAGCTTATGGTGGTGTTTCATTTTCCCGAGCATCTAAATCTCCCTTCTCGGCTTCCCCGAGAATATCTGGTGATCGTTGTTGACCAAAAAAAGCGGTCAAGACGCGACGCGACGCTGAGAACGCCGATACTGCGGATTGTAATAGTTTCGTCTCCGTGATTGTTTTGGGTGGTCCAAGTTAGGACCACTGGACCGAGTTAGGCCCACTAAGCCGAACTAGGCCCACTAAGCCGAGTTAGGAACATAAAGAAGCAAGATTCATACTATGGCAGCAGAGACGACGAATCAGGAAATCAATTTCTCATACCAAGAGCGTTCTCTTCTTCCTTCGCTGTACCTCTCGCATTGTTTCTAAGGTTAGTTCGTAGTTCTCATCGGTCGTCTCTTTGTATTTTACACGATTCAATTTACGATGTAAGAAAATACATTGCTCGCGAATCGCTGTTGTTGCTTCCCCTTGCATAGAGTTAGGTTTTTTTTTGTTCCTTGTGATGTTTAGATGAGCGAGATGATGATTTAGGGTTTTAGTAGCGATTAATTGGTTTTCTTTGGGGATAATTTAGGGATTTCACGTCGTCCTGTTTGGTTCTAGTTTGAATGGCTTTGTTATGTACCGTCGTCATCTAAGAATCTCCACTTGAAGCCTTGTTCTTTTGTTCTTCTTCGTCTCTTCGGTGATCTCCTCTTTTTGCTTTTGTTTTTTTCCGGGTGCATTGTTTTGGGTTTTTTTTTTCATTGAATCGAGTTTATGTGGGTTTGGGATTTCATTGAATTGAAGCATAATTTGGGATTTAACTTGTTCTAGTTTGGAAAAAGTTGCAGAATTGATTTGCTGGTTCTAGTTCTAATTTGGAAGAAGTTGCTTTCCTCTGCTCAATTTTTAATTTGCCTTCCTCTGCTCAATTTTGGGTTTCAGGTTCTGAAAGAAGTAAACATGTCAGTTCTTATTATGACGAGCCTTGGGGATATAGTAATTGACCTTTACTCGACTAAATGCCCTTTGACCTGCAAGAACTTCCTCAAGCTTTGCAAGTAAGGGTCGTCTCTTTGCCTATCTACCTAAGAAACATTTCTATGCTACTCACTATGTTTCCATGGGGTTTTAACTTTCTTATTTGGTTTTAGGATCAAATACTACAATGGGTGCCTGTTTCACACTGTGCAAAAGGATTTCACAGCTCAGACGGGTGATCCAACTGGCACAGGAGCTGGTGGAGATTCAATCTACAAGTAAGATGCTGTTATTATACCTTTTGATATGTGTACTTTGTATATTTTTGATCATTCTTTGCCTTTTGAATCATTTTGTCGGTTTTGCCTTCTGTGTTGCTTTCCCACCTCCTTGTTTGTGTCTTCTCCAGTCAATGTTTGAACATTTCTTAACCATCTTGTACTTGCTATGTTGGATTACAGATTTCTGTATGGTGAGCAGGCTCGTTTTTTCGGTGATGAGATTCATCTTGATTTAAAACATTCAAAGACCGGTACTGTTGCAATGGCCAGTGGTGGAGAAAATCTCAATGCTTCCCAGGTAAGCTAAATCATTTTGATCGAATTACTAAGTTTAGGGTCTTATATATTGATTATGAAATCTCTTGGGAAATGGTATTTTTTCTCCTCCAGATTCAGTACTTAACTAGTTATCAATATTTCTCATGTGAACTTTCTACTCTTTTCAGTTCTATTTTACACTTCGTGATGATTTGGACTATCTTGATGGGAAACACACTGTAAGTACAAAATTATTAATGATCTGCATATCCTGTCTTTTGAATATACTGGTTACCTTTAAATGCTATTTTATGCCATTTTCAGGTGTTTGGGGAGATTGCTGAGGGGTTGGACACTTTGACTAGGATAAACGAAGCTTATGTTGATGCAAAGAACAGACCTTACAAAAATATTAGAATCAAGCACACTTATATACTTGATGATCCATTTGATGATCCCCCACAGCTGGCTGAAATGATACCAGGATCTTCCCCCGAAGGAAAACCGACGGAAGAGGTCAAAGATGACGTGCGACTTGAAGATGATTGGGTACCAATGGATGAAGAACTTGGTGCCCAGGAACTGGAGGAAATTATCCGCGAAAAGGCTGCCCATTCTAGTGCTGTTGTACTTGAAAGTGTAAGTATCACTTTTTCAATTGGCGTGTAGCAGTTTTGATGTTATATCAAACCATCTTTTAATTGATGACCATGTATTGCTATTGCAGATAGGAGATATTCCTGAGGCTGAGGTAAAACCTCCTGACAACGTGCTGTTTGTCTGCAAACTGAATCCTGTGACTGAGGTAGGTGCTTGATGTTTAAAATTAAAAGTAAAGCCTTCCTCTCTTAGTGATATTTTGTTCTTATTTTCTTGTCTCATGCAGGATGAGGACCTCCATACTATATTTTCACGCTTTGGAACCGTTGTATCGTAAGTAATAGTTCCTTGATTCTTTGTGTGTTTGAGAAACTTAATTGCTGCAATTGTACTGATAATTATGTGTAAAAATGGCAGGGCTGATATAATCCGGGATTTCAAGACAGGTGACAGTTTGTGCTATGCTTTTATAGGTGAGCAGAATCTCTGTTATGCTCTGAAATTTAGGTTCTTCTGTTTAAATGTTGTGTTAACTGACAGTTTTTGTCTCTGTTCTAGAGTTTGAAAACAAGGAGTCATGTGAACAGGCGTATTATAAGGTATAGGTCAACTGCCTGTAAAATATGTATAGAAGTTGTGAAACGAATTATTTGGGGGATTAACCAACTTGTTGATTTTCAGATGGACAATGCTCTGATCGATGATAGACGAATACATGTGGATTTCAGTCAGAGTGTGTCCAAACTTTGGTCACAGTTCCGGCAGAAAGACTCCCAGAAGGGTAAAGGTAAATTCTTTTTTCCTTCATTCCTGTAGAATATTGACTTGCCATAGACGAACAAGTAAGAGACTAATATACTTGGCAAACATGAATTAGGGAATGGATGTTTCAAATGCGGCTCGACGGAACATGTTGCTAAGGACTGTGTGGGTGGTGATCAGGCTTCAAAGTACATTGTAAAAGATCAAAACAGACAGCACGGAGGAGGTGAAGGCTATGATATGGTATTTGAGGGTGATGTACCTGAATTGCCTAAGAGAGAGCATAATAGTCAAGAGAGGGAAGTGAGGGAGAGGAGGGAGAAGAGTCAAAGGAGAAGTCCTCATGGTAATGGGGAAGGCAAAAGACGCCAGAGAGATGAAGTTGATGATGGTAGAAGACAGCATGGCCGGGAAGAGGTAAGAGAAAAGGAGAGGAGACACAGAGAGAGAGAAGAAAGAGACAGTAGGGAAGATGAAGAAGAGAGAAGAAGAAGAAGACGCCGTGAAGAGATGAGAGATAGAGATAGGCGTGAGGAGAGTCGAAGATACAGAGACGAGGATCATCAGAGTCATAAAGAGAGGAGAAGAGAGAGAGACAATGGACATGGAAGAAGGGATAGGTGAAAGACCATGGGCTTGGCGTTTAGGGTTGATAGGGTTTTAGGTGGGTTCTGTATCTCTTGAGTTTTTGACTAAGTCAAAGTTTTAATTGTTTCCCTATTAACTCATCTAGTAAAACTAGATTAGCTTTGGTCTCTTTCTTTATATAACGCTTTTATCACAAACCAGCCATACTCTCCTCCTATCATTATTTTTCAATTGAATTATCTTTGTTTATTTCACGTTATTACATACAACAAGTTTCAAAATAACACATCAACTGGACCTACCAATTAACGAAAGTTAGGTCACCTAATATTTTTGGATAAAGATAAAAATTATTTTGAAAGGGATAATAAGAAAAAACGGCACGCCGTATGTCTTGGCTGGAGGAAAAACGACAGCACATCTGATTGGCTAACAGAAGAATAATCTAACTTAATGATAGACAATACTAGCGAATTGTTAAAAAGGTTTCACACCGACAAAACTGAAGAAGTTGTCGTGGGAATTAGGAAGACAAACCTGGTCGCTAGTTTTCGACTTTAACACTTCCGTATAATATTCTATTTACATATTGTTACATTCCTTTCAATTCGTATGATCATATCCTATATATTACTTTGTTAAACTGATCCAATTTTGTTGTTAAGTTTTCTTTCTTTCTTGCTGATCAAAAATTAAAATGGGTATGAACATGAGCGAACGAGTTAAGATTCTCTGTATCTTATTATATGAATAGCAGAAATACGAATTTTGAATAACTTATTATACTCAATTATTTATTTATTTAAATAAATTATATGTCTTTGTCATCTATACTCGATTCTTGCTGGCACTTTGCTTGACAGTTCAAGTTTATGATTCAGCTAACTCCCCGAAATGTAATCATTGACAAGTTAATTTCCCACACAGTCAACTCCAAACAGGCATTATTAGCACACAAAGAAACTGATATTAGAAAAGACATCTCTAAGAGTGATCTCAAATATAAATTATATTTACTACGTATGGTTAATCAAAGCATATTCTCTTTATATATTATCAGCTCACATAGCATTTGTATATCACGTCGATCATGAGAAGAAAAAAAACAAAGACAGCGAAAAACACATGAACACGAGATGTTCGACGAATAAGTTATTCCATATATTAGTTTCATTTTGCAATACCGAAAAAAATTTATTTATATTATTATTAACTAGCTATCATGATACAAAATAATTACAAACTTTGTATTTCTATTAATATATATAGTCAGATACCCATGAATGGGTTCACGATCTTCTCGGATATAAAATTTACTTCAAATATATTACCTTATTATTCTTATGTAAAACAATACACCTTCTAAATTGCGTCGTCCTCTTTTAATTTCTTTTATATTTAAACTTAGAAAAACGTAAAAGTAAAAGAAGAAAAAACGATCGAATTCAGCAAAAAGTGATGATGGGACAATATGTAAAGAGGAGCGTAAAGAGCCAATCATAGCCATTACGTTAGCCAATTTTCCATAGTATATAATTAAAGACATGAAATTAAACTATTTACTATTGTAACTAATACTAATATTTATTAATCATGGGTCAAACCATAATCACGATACACCAATGACCATAAAAAGAACAAATCATTGTGGATACATTTGGAAGGAACAAAATAATACTGTAATTAATGTTCATATTATTGAGAAGAACAAAAAAAAAATGAACATTATAAGCTACTATTTATTAAAGACACAGAAAGAAACAAAATGAGCCTAATCTTTTTGTTTATGTGTGGCTTTGGATTCTTATTGCTAAAATCGTGCTCGACAGCTCCACTCTGTAAAAGTTTCGTTTATTTTTTTACGAGCTAAAAACGAAACAGTATATAATGAATCTCACTAAGTCAAGAAAATTTTTACTTTTACGAAAAATAATTAGATTTCAAAAAAACAAACACAGAAAAGGTTCTAAATTTCTCTCTTTTTTTCTTTTATAGCTTTTTCACAAGACTAGAATTTGGAATCTCGTTCTTGAGAGAGAGAGAGAGAGAAAGAGAAGAAGATGAGGAGGGTGAATTGGGTGGTGGTGGCTCTGTTTACAGTATGCATTGTTGGATTTGAGCTTAGATTCATCCATGGAGCCACAGATGCATCAGACAGTGAGTTTCTTCTTCTTCTTGCCGTCTTGGTCTTGGTCTGAAGTCTGAGAATCTTGTTCACTTTTTTCGCTTAATGGGTTATCCAAAGTCTCAATCTTTTTCGTATATCCTTCAATTTGATTCTGTTTTCATTCTTCATCCATTTAACCCAAAGTTTCAATCTTTGCTTTTTCTCAAATCTCAAATCTTCTTATTGTTTTTTCTTTGGGGTTAAATCTCGAGCCTTTCTCTTCTCTGTGTATCTTCAAACTTTTTGTTCTGTAAAAAGCTTTTAATTTTTAGTAAGACTTGATGAAAGCAGAACTGATTTATGATTTATGGTTAAACTTCTGTTGATTTGGATTGTGTGCTTTTAATGAATGGTCTCTGATTTCTATTTTTTGCAGCTTCGGCATTGAACACATTGTTCAGCAGTATGCATTCACCAGCTCAGCTAACACAATGGACTGCAGCAGCTGGTGATCCTTGTGGGCAGAATTGGAGAGGTGTAACTTGCTCTGGTTCACGAGTTACTCAAATGTTAGTGATTTTTGTTATGTAATATCTTGTTTGCTACTTCTAGTCATTTGGTTTACATCTAACATAAATTGTGTTATATCTACTTGACAGAAAGTTACCAGGTCTAGAGCTCTCTGGAACACTCGGTTACATGCTTGATAAATTGACTTCTCTTACCGAGCTGTAAGATCAATCAGTCAAATGCTCGAAACTGTTAAATGAAGTCCTGCTTAGAGATAGCGAGTTTTCTAAAAAAATTTTGTAATCTTTCATGGAACTTGCAGTGATCTAAGCAGCAATAATCTCGGAGGTGATTTACCATATCAGCTTCCTCCAAATCTGCAACGACTGTATGTTCCATCAACCCTCTTTTATTTTGGTTTCTAATTTAATAACCGTGTGTTCAAGTTTATAATCCTCGGAGTTTCAGGAATCTTGCAAATAACCAATTCACTGGAGCTGCTCAATACTCCATTTCTCATATGACACCACTTAAGTATCTGTAAGTAATTCCTTCACTTTACATTTCTCTAGACATCTCTCATAAAGATGTGAATATCAATGTTGTCTTGTGCAAAAATTCAGCAATCTTGGTCACAATCAGTTTAAGGGGCAGATACCTATTGACTTCACCAAGCTCAACTCTCTCACAACCTTGTAAGATCCTAGTATAAGATTCGTATTGCGCTCTCTAAGTTTTTAATCTTAGTCAAATATTTGACAAAATTTCATGTGTTCCAGGGACTTCTCTTTCAATTCTTTTACGAATTCTTTACCGGGAACTTTCACCTCTCTAAAAAGTTTAAAATCATTGTAAGTTTTCGGGAACCTCTGATGAAACTGAAACTTTACTAGTTACTAAACATGTGGCTTTTAACTTCATAGATACCTTCAGAACAATCAGTTCTCAGGCACAGTCGATGTCTTAGCCGGTCTTCCTCTCGAGACTCTGTGAGTAACAAACCTTATTTTGCGTGAAACTGGTTTTTCTTAAACATTCATTAACGTTTGGCTCTTCTTGAATGGATTTCAGGAACATTGCAAACAACGACTTCACGGGCTGGATCCCCAGTTCTTTTAAGGGAATTACATTGATGTAAGTTCTCATTTTCACACATTTGCTTGTTTCATTAAAGTTTTAATCTCACGTTTCTTGTTTCTCGCGAACAGAAAAGATGGCAACTCATTCAATACTGGACCTGCACCACCACCACCACCTGGAACACCTCCAGTCCATGCCTCCCCAAGCCGTAAATCTGGAGGACGTGAAAACCGGTCTAGTGGTGATTCCACCAGCAATGGAGATTCCAAGAAATCGGGAATTGGAGCTGGTGCAATTGCTGGCATAATCATTTCATTGTTAGTAGTTACAGCTCTTCTTGTGGGTTTCTTCTTGTTCAAAAGAAAAAAATCAAAGAGATCATCATCCATGGACATTGAGAAAACCGATAACCAGCCTTTCACTCTTGCTTCAAACGAATTTCATGGTATGCACATACATTCATTTTTCCTATAAGAGTTAAACAAAAAATACTGTAACTTACTTTGAGACTCCATATGGTTGCAGAAAACAATTCCATTCAGAGTTCTACATCAGTTGAGACAAAGAAACTGGATACTTCATTGTCTATTAATCTTCGGCCTCCACCAATTGATAGAAACAAATCATTTGATGATGAAGATTCGACAAGAAAGCCTAGTACTGTCAAGAAATCCTTGGTGGTGGTTCCTTCAAATGTGAAAGTTTATTCAGTTGCAGATCTCCAAATTGCTACTGGTAGTTTCAGCGTAGATAATCTTCTTGGAGAAGGGAATTTTGGACGAGTATACAGAGCTGAGTTTGATGATGGAAAGGTAATATTATAAAAAAATTTATGTAATCCTATAATCTTTTTCTCTTGAAATATGTCATAATGTTTTTGGAACACTCTTACTGTTTAGGTTCTTGCTGTGAAGAAAATTGATTCGTCTGCTCTTCCACATGGCATGACTGATGATTTCATTGAAATGGTATCAAAAATCGCAGTTTTGAATCATCCAAATGTGACCAAGCTTGTTGGTTACTGTGCTGAGCACGGACAACATCTCGTGGTCTATGAATTCCACAAAAATGGATCATTACATGACTTCTTACACTTATCAGAAGAGGAAAGTAAAGCCTTGGTGTGGAATTCACGAGTCAAGATTGCTCTTGGGACTGCACGCGCATTGGAGTAAGTTCCAAAAAAAATTCATTCCTTAGCTCATTATTTACAAAGAAACGAGAATTTTGGTTAACCAAAAGTATTTGTTCTTGCAGGTATCTGCATGAAGTTTGTTCACCATCTATAGTTGACAAGAATATCAAATCCGCTAATATTTTACTTGATTCAGAGCTAAATCCTCACTTATCAGATTCCGGTCTCGCAAGCTTCCTTCCCACAGCTAATGAGGTTGAATATACAAACTCTTCTCCAAACTTTGTACTATTTCTCAACCTATTTGGTTGCTTAGATAATTCTGATATGTGCAGTTACTAAACCAAACCGATGAAGGGTATAGCGCACCTGAAGTATCAATGTCAGGCCAGTATTCTTTAAAGAGCGATGTTTACAGTTTTGGAGTAGTGATGCTTGAACTTTTAACTGGGAGGAAACCATTTGACAGGTAAATTCTATTATGATAGAAAACAATGCTAAATTTAGATGAGGAATGTCTTTCTGAATTTGAATCTTACAATTGGTTATAACTTGAGCAGCACAAGGTCAAGATCTGAGCAGTCATTGGTTCGATGGGCGACACCACAACTTCACGACATTGATGCTTTAGGCAAAATGGTTGATCCAGCTCTTAAAGGGCTTTATCCTGTTAAATCTCTCTCCCGATTTGCAGATGTTATCGCTCTCTGCGTCCAGGTAACATAGTGGCTACAACCTGAATCTTGTAATTAACTTCCAAGATCAAGAAAGTCTTTTACTGATCTTGGTTTTTGTTTCTTATAACAGCCGGAGCCAGAGTTTAGACCACCGATGTCTGAAGTTGTGCAGGCTCTGGTTGTGCTAGTGCAGAGAGCTAACATGAGCAAGAGAACTGTCGGAGTTGATCCATCGCAACGTACTGGTAGTGCCGACGCGACCAATGATTACATGTAAATTCCTCCTCTCCGTCGGATGCAGTCACAGATACAACAAAAAGAAAATTGGAAGATAAAAAGCACCCTCACGCATTGTATAATCCCATTGTTTTATTGTATTTGTATGTTCCAAAGTTGTAGCTTCAAGATCCTCTACATGAACAATATTCTTTCTTGCTTGATTTCTTCTATTACATTGGTTCTAATCTGGGCTTGGTTCAATTCTTGATCGTTTTTACTTGTTATCAAAAGGATGTTACTTTAAAAGGAAAGGCCAACTTAACAAAGAATTTTCAAAAGTATCTGACATTGAAGAATAAAACAACCCGAGTTAATAAGTAGTAAAACAAGTGTACTAGTACTGAAAAAGAGATTGAAGGGAGACTGGAGAGACACAAAGAAGAAAGAGTGTTTCTGAGTTTTGCTTTGGGAGCGTTGTGATGAAGCAAATCGACCTTGATCTTCTATCTCTCTCTCTAGTTGTAGACCATATACTTGGGAGTGGCACTGAACTTTTGGTAACCTTTAATTACTTTGTTCACTGCGTCCAGAAAGTCTTTCTCAGTCACAGTCTTTCTCCTAGCTCTGATAGCATACATTCCAGCTTCAGTGCACACACTTCTGATATCAGCTCCTGCAAAAGACAAGATTAAAAAAAATCCAAAATCATCAAAACAAATCTTAGAAGGCAAAAAAAAAGTATGAGAGCTGTTTCACAGTCGAGGGATCATTACCAGTCGAGTTTGGGCAGAGGCGAGCAAGCAGTTCGAAACGGATGTCTCTTTCACAGTTCATTGTTCGTGTGTGAATCTTGAAGATCTGGGTTCTGCTCTCCAGATCAGGAAGACCAAACTCAACCTTACGGTCAAGACGCCCAGGACGTAAAAGAGCAGGGTCAAGTGTGTCAGGCCTGGATTAGAGAGTTAATACAGAAAAACCAATGGGTCAAAATGGTATTATAGGGTTATGTAGTTTACTTAAAGATGGTAAGGGGACTGTGACTCACCTGTTTGTTGCCATAAGAACCTTGATGTTACCACGTGCGTCAAACCCATCAAGCTGATTCACAATCTCAAGCATAGTACGTTGAACTTCATTATCACCACCAACACCGTCATCAAATCTAGCACCACCAATGGCATCAACTTCGTCAAAGAAGACAATGCAAGCTTTCTTGGACCGTGCCATCTGAAAAGAGAGTATTATACAATTCAGAACAAATTATAGCAGCATTGGCTTGACAAACTCAGATAGCAAAAAGGAGTGTTTACAATAAATTACCTGAAACAGTTCACGAACCATCCTAGCTCCTTCTCCAACGTACTTCTGAACAAGCTCACTGCCAATAACCCTGATGAAGCAAGCATCGGTTCTATTGGCCACTGCTCTAGCCAGAAGAGTTTTACCAGTACCAGGAGGACCGTAGCAGAGAACACCCTTGGGAGGGTCTATCCCAAGCTTCACAAATTTCTCTGGATGAAGCATAGGCAGTTCAACAACCTACATCATCAAAGACAACAAACTTTTAACAATTTCTTTGTTGAAGAAATTACATTACACCACTCAGTTAAATTTTAGCAAAGCATTGTAAGATACGCTCACGGGATAAAAAAAAAAGTTCAACACACCTCCCGCATCTTTTCAATCTGCTCCTTGCAGCCACCAACATCATTATAAGTTACATCAGGTTTCTCTTCAACTGTCATCATGGTCACGCTAGGATCGATTTTCGGTGGTAGAGGAATCTGTATCTGATATTTATTTCGATCAACTCTGCAAGTACAAATCATAGACAGAACGTTCTCATAAGAATTCATCCATATTGAGAAATGTACAACAACAAAGGGGGTTCGATCAGAAGCAAATAAAACATAGAAATATACAATGGGGGACTGATAATTAAGCAGATAAAAACTCAGTCTATAAACAGAACATACCCCACACGCATGCCTTCCTCAATATCAGTGGGAGAAACTTTATCGCCAAGTCCAACAACAAACTGAAGTTATGAACCAAAAACTAAATCAGTAAGCCATACATAAAAGGCTCTAAAACAGACAATTGATTAAGGAGCAAACCAGTAACAGCAGCCAAGGAATATAATATAGTGTACCTTAGCAATTTGCTTGACATTAATCACGTATTTTGCGTCTTCAGTGTTTGGACTTATTATCTTTGTGCATCTCGCAACCTGGATAGAAAAAACGTTAACTCCCATATAGTCACCATGAGATAAGAAGACGTATCAGACAACTATCTAAGTAAGGAAGCCTACCTGCAGAGGTTGCTCCTCTTGCATCATCTGCTTATCAGATACAAGATCCCATTGACTGGGAGGAGCTAAACCAGTATCAGACTCCTTGATACCTGCAAGTTAAAATATATATAAGCAACCAAAACCCAATTTAAGTTATTCCGTAAACAGAAGTCACCAGCAAATCAAAGTAAGCACAATAACACTTAAGCTGAGTAAGAACGAGTCCGCACATACCACATAGATCGTTGATCTTCTTGGCGAGATCCTTAATTTCTTTTTCCGCTTTCTTAATAGGTGCAGAGTAAGGCCCTAACCCCTGCATAGGAATGACATATACCAAGGTCAGAATATGAAGAGAGAACAGATACAGCCAAGTATGAGTATGATTCATACATCGAAGTAGCAAGTAGCAAAAAATTGACTTAAGTTGAAGAATCAAGGTCATCGAAGAGCAACTAAGAACGAGTCTAGCTCGAATTTACTCATGAGAAAACATCAAATCGGAGACGAAACCTCACATTCGAGAAAACCAAACATAGCAAATTTGACTAACAGCGACTCGCAAAAAAAACCCTTAGCAACTAAAAACCTAAGCTGGATCCGAAATCTCCGATGAACCAAAAGAGCAAAAGTCGAAAAAAATCTGAAATCCCAATCGAATTTAGGGTTCTAAAAGGGACTTACATAAGTTTTGAGGAGGGCGATATCGTCCTCGTCAAGAGGACGAGGATTCTTCTCGTCTCTGATCTCGTCTTCAATATCTCTCACCATTCTCGCCGGAATTTGAAGTCGGAGATTTTAGATACAGATACTCTAGAAAAGAAAGAAGCTTGCAGGAGAGGAAAAGAAAGAAGCTCTATTAGAGAGTATCTGTATCTGAAAGCGTATGATATAGATGAAGAAACCACACCTGTAAACTGGGCTTTTTCATCGAGGCCCATATTTTGTGTCTTGTTGAAGACGACAGATCAAACCGAACCCAAACCGTAACCAGACGTCCACCCTCACACGCATAAATTGGGCTGTTAATAGCAGGCCCATATTCGAGTTTTTTTTTTTTTTTTTTTGGTATCATTGTACTTTTTTTTTTTCTTTTACTTCTGAAATTCTTGTTTCAACCAATAATTCTGAGAAATTTAACAAGCTTAATTTATGTTTAGAGTTTCCTTGTAGTTCAAAATCGTAACAACAAGTTTATAAATCAACAAGGAATCAAAAGACAAAAAAATGAATTGGAGCGTAACGTTAGCTTCAAACAGCTGAAATTATGTTCTAAGAAAGAAAGCCTAAAGTGCCAAACGAGTTAGACTAGATTGCGATATTTAAGAACATCGTTCTTATTGAGATGAAAGGATTTGCAAATCTCTACTATGCTCGCCTCGTCGAGTCCTTCCTCGATAGCTTCACGAATTTGCTGCTGTAACTCTTCTGATGATAGCAAAATCTGGTTCATGACGAAACAAAGACAAGAATAAGAAACGAGAAACTATCCATTAAGTTTCTTTGATGTCAGAGAGAGAGAGAGACAGAGATAGATTAGCTTACACATGTGGGAGATTGGGATTCTTTTACCAGGTTGCTGTTGTTTTTCTTGCTTTCATCTGCATCATCACTTGAGTCTGGTTTCTGAGGATTCGACTGGTTTGAGATGAGCTTAAGCAGCTTCTCACTTCCCTAACAAGTCAATAAAGATGATCTTTGGGTTTATATATAAAACCTCTACGATGATGGAATATGCATCGAGAAGCAAAAGATGACAGACCTGAAGAGCCCGCCAGTGAGAATATGTACGGAATAAGACCCAGAAAAACGGTATGTTTGGTAACGGCAACACCTAAATGGAAAGAACAAAGGGCTTTGGTGGTTATCATACTCGAAAAAAATAAATCAGTGCTAGCTTATTATTCTATGGGCTAAGGTTCTTGAGGGCTAGCTGCATACCATAAATGCACTGGTCAATGGAAGCAAAGTTACAGAACCAACTAGGTACTTCTTGTGCAGGATTGTTCCACTGCAAATCCAATTTAAAAACATTCAGGTTAGACGGATCATGGATTCTGAATCTATGACTACGCCTGGAAACCGGATGTATAAAGTTCATCATTTGAGACAACGGGTAGCAAAGTGATTTACCTCATGGCAATGTGCCGTAGTCTCCTGCGTACAAGTCTAGGATCTAAACTGAAACATTTGACATGGATTAGCTAAAACGGTAACCAATCCGAGTTCACCAGAATATACTTATAAAGACATAATCTAATCATCCATTAGAGAGATACAGGTAGTTTAAAGAATTCAAGAAATCGAAAGTGAATAAAACCTCGTAGGATAAGTGACTTGTACAGAAGTGACCTCCTTAGATATAGACTTCAAGAAAATCTCAGACGGCTTAACACGAGCCAGAAGCTTCAGTCCAAACCTATACATTCCAACCAAAAAAACCACAACTTGTCATTAAGCCTATCAACAAACATAGACCAAAGCCAAAACCTCTAGAAATGCCTCAAAATACAAAAAAAGTACAAACCCATGAATTTTGTTCTTCATTGATCCATCAGGCGCTTGCTCAAGACCCACCCAAGCTTTATTCATCTACCACAACAGCAACAGTTCTTCAAACTTAGTAATGGAGAAATAAAGGAAGAAGACTGATTAAAAAAAAACTCTTCTTTTCTCTCATTTCTAGTGGTCCTAGATGAGGTTCGTTGTCAAAAACCTTTAATCAGAAACAATACCAAAGCTTGTTCATTGGTCGGAACTTTCTACAGCCAATAAATCTCACTACACGCCACATAAACGACACACGGCTGGTATTTGAATATATAAAGAGAAAGAGTTTCAAATGTAATTTAACCTTGTCCGAGATGAAATCGACGAGAAGCTCTGCGTTGGCATTGATGGGTTTCGATTCAGATGATATTTTCTTCCATAAACCTCGTAAAGTGGTCGGAGTAACACCGGACGGCGATTGAGCAGCGAAAGGATCAACAGATCTGCTGAAACACCACTTCTTCCCTTTGATCGGGAAAACCAACAATCTCGCTCTCATGATCACTCTCAAACAGAAAGCAGAACTCTGAAAAAGCTTCGATCTTTAGTTAGGATTTGTCAATTTGTCATCTGGGTATTTGCTTTTAAACGACGTGTGGTTTTTTTTTGTATATTCAAAGGAAAAAATCGAAGCTTTAAGGTAAACGATAGCGATGACCGACAAAGCCTAATATATTTCACGAGGAAAGACGAAGAAGCGGCGGCGCGTCTTTGGTATATGGACCAAATTTATATATAATGGGGTGTTTAGTGTTTGTATTTAATACTGAAACAGTCTTTGAAATCGACTTAAGATTTGGAATACCAAAAGGTTGTCCTTCTAAAATTGTGGATCAGAATTGACTTGATACTGACAGAGAAGCAAATCACAAATGCTGAAGCAATGATATAGTGACACATCACTAACACTAAGAAACTTTCATAAAGTAGTAATCTCAGATTAATATTAGAAGAAACTGTAGCATTGGCTTTATTGTATGATACACTAGTAAATTATGCACAGACAAGACGAGAATTAGGCTGTTTATGGTGAGAACTCACAAGAAAGTTTGCGTGTTAAATCTTTTATTCGTGATCTGCTACAAAATTAGGCTGCTCCTTTGCACAGAGATACTCATCGCATTCTGAAGCGGTTCCCCAGTCTTTTCTAAGTCTGAGGATATCCTCTGTAAAGGTGGAACCAGATGCACCAATGAATACGCTTGACATTGCGCATATTGTCTTATCCAACATTGCTTCCACCTTTTAAATTAAGAAAATCCCAAGTAAGATTTTGTTGACTTGTGTATGTATCATCATTTATCCAATATGTGGAGGAGGAAAGAAACCACACCTGTGAGTCACCCTCGAGACCATGTCTGTATAACAATGCATCCCATTTCTCAGCTGAATCACGAGCTGGTCTCTTCACAAGGGGGACAGTCTTTCCATTCAGGATCAATAGCGATTGTAGCAGACCAGTTTCGCTTTCGGCTGCATCAGTAGAAAGGTATAACACCGGTGCCTTAACCTTCTCAATCAGACGGGTGATGCAGTTAGCAGCTTGAGGAATGGGGTAAAAGCAACTTGGATTCTTGGCATTACTGGCACAAGACGAAAATTTCTTAGTTATGGTTCTTGATTTAATCTTCATAATGAATTGAACAGAGCTTCACCAAAAGCTACTATGAAAACGAAAAACAATCTTAAACACAATAAAGATAATAAGCTATTAACAAATATTCTTGGTACAAGTGATATAAACTTATAATGCCCATACTTATTCGCCTAAACTAAGTAGATGTGCAACTCCAGTGATGCATTCACAAAAATACAGCCACACTTTTTGTTGGGTATCAATGTTTTAGTACAGTCACACTTCTAAATGTTACCATACCATTGATGCTATAATTTGGTCAAGACTAAAGATAGCTATATTGTCATCAAATGTAGAGTTTAGCTATGCCCGCAGATCTTTACCATAAAACAAGAGAATACAAAGAGTGAAAGTCAAGCATAAAATTCTCACTATCAATTACCATACTACCAGAGAACTCAAGGAAGTAGAAAATAAATCTTACCAAAACTTCAAGAATCCATGCCTGCGGAAATGAAGGGAAATGTAGTTCTTGCCAAGGAAAGTCTGAATAAATCTCTGTGCAGTGAGCAAAATAAGCCGGTTTGGTTCAATCAAAGTCTTACACTTGTGAGCAACAGGACCACCAGGCTGCATCACCCACTCTCTTTCAACATTTGCATAGAAAACATCCCCAATCGCAATAACATCATTATCTGATCTAAAATTAGTCTCCACTTCCTCAGCTGTCTTGTTGCTTGGCTTCGCGATATCTTCTTCCCATGGCGAGTCTAGCTTCCCTCCAATGGTGACCCCCAAAGCTTTCAATTTTGCAATATGCTCTTTATCTACATAACAAGGCTCCGGTTTGGAGAAGTAGCATATGAATCTATTAATATGAACATGATGATGCTTCTTCCTATTCTTATCCTTCTTCCAAAACTCCTCAAACGAAACCACTACATTTCTCCCCAAACAAGTATTTATACGATCAATATCAATGATTCTACTGTAATGGTAATCAAAGCTATGGCTAGGGATCACAAGAACACGTTTCAGCAATGCAGCAAAGAACATATGCTTCTCCAAGCAAATCAAGTGATTACTCATTTGGCCAGACAAGCAAATGGCAAATAGAAACTTATCCGGCCTCGGCTTCCATTGAATCGTCCTCCTCCCATTCAACTTCTGATCTATCTTCCGGCAACTTCCGCCGGCGAAGAAACCATCTGATGAACCGCCGAGTTCAACATTTCCACTTTTATGCGGAGACAGTAATGCATTTTGGATCTGTCTATTCAACGAAACCTGCCGGAAAACTGCAGATTTCACGTCTTCGATCGTTGATGAATTCGATAAAGTATGGTTCCAGATAGAGAAGAGATCGCTTTCTTGTTTCCTGAGAAGATACAGCGCTTGAAGATCCGATTCATGACTCCGACCCGTTAATGTATTTGACCGGAACACAGAATTAGGAACTTCGACGGAGAAGTAATTGCTGAAATCAGTAGATAAGTAAATGAGGATGATGACGATAGGCAGGAAGATAACAATGGACTGTTTCTTAGTGAGATTGAGCTTCAAACTCCGTCTTATACGTGATCGGAGACTCTCCACGTCGAAGGTAGGTCGTTGCTCTGCCGCCGCGTCAATGCCACGATATTGGTCGATTTGAGTATCTGATTCCTCGAGCAGATCGTTGATATCGGCTTCTTCATCTGGAGATGACGATGACGACGAAGAAGACTCTTTCACCATTTGATGATGCGTCACAGTCGTTGCCGGAGATCAACCCGGAACCGTCGACCCATATAGCTAGACTTTTATCCAAAATCCGACCCGATTTACACCACGTGGCATGTCTTCATGAGTTTAGTTAGTTCATTCACATTTAAAGATTAAAGCTCTAATAGGTCGTCGTTTAATTGAGAGAACTCTAGAGGCTTTGTAGCCCAATAAAAGGTAATACGGGTCGGGTCACCGGGGGTAAAACTAAAATAGAAGGACTCAGGAGTAAGGCCCATTAGCCCAAGTAAAGGATAAAACGGGTCAGGTCATTAGAATGACCCGGGTCTCGTTATCCATCGCCTCCTGGTTGCTGCGTGAAAGCCAGACAGAAGTATCATCTTCGTTGAAATTTTGCTATTGTGTGGCTTATCCTTGTTTGTCTTAAATTCCTGCAAAAACCCTCGCCTCTCTAAGATAGTTAGAGAGGAACATAAATTTCCTTACTTTCCTGTTCCGGATAATCTTACAAGACATTCTGGTTGGTGTTGCAGAGAAGAGTGTTTCTAGTTTCTTCTTTTTCCTTCTCCTGGGCTGAATGAGCTCCCAATGCCTTCTTTAGGTACCTTTTCTGGTAAGGGTTTCAAAAAAATTCCAACATTTATCAACCTGTCTGATGACTTCACTCTTACTCTTCTGGGTTTTTGTTTGGTTACTGTTTAGAATTCTACTTCAGCATTGAGAGTTTGAGACTCGCTTCCTTTTCAATTTTTGTTCTTTGCTATCCGGTATCATTCTTGAGTAATAATTCATTGCATTTTCCAATCTTAGGTCTAAGTTTTTTATTCAACAGATGCATAGTTACTGGGTTGAGAAAAGACTACTGCTTTGCATAGTTTCTAGAGAGAGTTCACTAGTGTTTTGTCCAGTTTCTTAGCTACTGGAGATGGCCCTTTGATTTTGACCTGCTCTTTAATCTTGTAGATATTGCTACTATCCAACCTTCCTTGCAAGCTCATCTTGTTCCATTGGGGGCTCAGAGTATTATCCATGCTAAAACTCTACCTAATCCATGGAGACAATCTTGTTTCTCCAAGAATTTGAAATTTTACACGGGTCATACTCATGTTCGAAGAGGCAAAGTCCTTATTACTGCAGTGGCCACTCTTGAAACCAAGTATCCTGCTCAGAAAGAAAACGAACAGAGCTCTTCCTTGTCTTCTGCTTCTTCAAAATCTTCTGATGGTCGAAATGGAAGTGCTGATGATGACGAAGAGTTGCAACAAGTGGATGATAGAGAAAAGCTGAGAAGGATGAGGATTTCTAAGGCAAATAGAGGGAATACTCCTTGGAACAAAGGCAGGAAGCATAGTCCGGGTGAGTAGCTTTTGCTTAGCCGTATCTTTAGCAATATCAGTTGGTTCTAGTTGGACACTTTGTAATACTATTTCTCTTTTGATTGTATGCAGAGACCCTACAGAAGATTAGAGAACGGACAAAGATTGCAATGCAAGACCCAAAGGTGATGTCATGTAAGAATGGTACTATATGTCTTCTTAGAGGAGTTGCCGGTAGTAACTCTAGTGGGTCCTGTACCGATATCAATTGTTAGTGGCTTAGTGCACACAAGAAAATGTTCTTTTGTCAATCAGATTCTACCCTTTTTGTTATTCTAGTCTTGAGGTATATATACCCTTTAGGAAAGCGGTTGCAGGTAAACATATGTTATATTAGGGCGTTTATGTTTTGCTCTATCCATCAGAATTTTCAACCCCTCATAGAACCTTTGTGTCTTCGCCCTGTGCAGATCAAGATGAAATTAGCGAATCTTGGGCACGCTCAAAAGTCAGTACCAGTTATTCTTTTAAACTTGTTGGACCTTCTGGTTTTTGCTATGCTTTTGTTATCATGATACTATCTTCCCGAATTGGCATGATTTTTACAGCAAGGAGACACGGATGAAAATTGGGGAGGGAGTGCGGATGCGATGGGCAAGGCGGAAGGAGAGGAGAAAAGTGCAGGAGACCTGTCATTTTGAGTGGCAAAACTTGTTAGCGGAAGCTGCTAAAGAAGGATATACAGATGAGGAAGCGCTTCAGTGGGATTCTTACAACATCTTGGATCAACAGAATCAAATGGAATGGCTGGAAAGTGTTGAGCAGAGGAAAGCCGTTAGAGGAGCTAAAAGTAACAGAAGAGCGCCAAAATCTCCTGAACAAAGAAGGAGAATTGCAGAAGCAATAGCTGCTAAATGGGCTGATCCAGTGAGTTGCCCAGTAATTTATTCAACTTGCTTGATATTTTGTTCTTGGACGTATTTAACTCAGTTTGCTTTCTCTTACAGTCTTACCGTGAAAGGGTTTGCTCTGGCTTGGCAAAGTATCACGGTATACCTGATGGTGTCGAGAGGCGCCGTAGAAGACCAAGTGGCAATACAGAACCCAGAAAGAAGAACCCTACAAAGAAAAGTACTAGGGATTCAGACGCGGAACGGCAAAGCCAAGTTCAAGTAGTGAAAGTACGGAAGCGAAAAACGCCTGTGTATAAAGATCCTTTGGCAAGCTCAAAACTAGAAATGATAAAAAGCATCAGAGCAAAACGAGTGGCGGAAGAATCGAAGAAGATGGATGCTGTGGAACGAGCAAGGTCAGTCCTCTTAAAACAGAATTGTTCAAAGTTCTCTATTTTGAAGTGTGCTTGAAGTTAACAAGAATTAACCCTTTTTTGGCCCAGGCTTTTGATCTCGGAAGCTGAGAAAGCTGCGAAAGTCCTCGAGATTGCTGCTTTGAAAAGCCCGGTTGCTCAAGCATCTTTGTTAGAGAGTAAAAAGCTTATAGCAGAAGCAACACAATTGATTGAATCAATAGAGATGAGGCAGGTAGCTTCAGATGAAGATGGGACTGACCCATATCTTCTCTCACCTCAGCCTAATAGTAGTCTTCAAGAGGTAGACAGTGAATCCGAGACCAAAGATTCTCATGATAAAGAAAAACCAGAAGAGATTAACGGAACACACACATTCCCGATCAATGGAGAGAGCGTTCACTTGAACATGAGATCAAGCGATTTCCCAACGTTCAACATAGAAGGTACTACAAGTCAGTCTGTTTCTGATAAGGAATCCAACACATCCCAGGGAGATAGAGAAGATATCAAACTCGGGATAGTTCCTCAACCAAACGGAACCAGAGTCCATCCACCAGCAGAGTCTAATGGAGCTGTCAGACTTGCTGAGGATCATCCTCTTCCGAATGGTTACCACGGGGTAGACGAAAAGGCTGCATCTTTGGAATCAGGAAACGTAACGAAAAAGTGGGTTCGTGGAAGGCTCGTTGAAGTCACAGAAGCAGCCTAATGTTGTAGCGATTTAGCAGAGGAAAGTTTGTATTTTTCAATTAGTGATTCAAAATTTTGGCTTATATATTGGTCTCATGCTCGAAAAAAGCAGTTTCCAGTTTGTGATGTGCCAGTTGTATCTATAACTCAATTGTATCCCAGAGTTTCAGCTTAGCAAACAATTCTTCATAACCAACAAGTAAGGAATTGTAATTACAAAGAAACCTCATAAAAAGATACAAGACAAAGATCATGTGGGTAGTTTCGGACTTTAGTTCTGTTTGGAAGAAGTAAACACTTACATAAGCTTCACATCCTCTACAAAATTTGGGAATGTGTGAACTTCATGATACTCAACATAATCAAGCCCTGGAATTTCAACACGTACGTTCGTGATCATGTTTTTCTCGAGATTGTAATAGAGAATGTAGAAAAAAAACTGTGAAAACTCTCGATACAATACAACCTCGCCATTACCAATCATTCCAGCAGAGAACACTGATTCTATTCGGGATGGGCGTAGCAGTACCTCGGGCATTTTGTAGTAAATGTTTGACCATTTATGTTCCTCGGCGTTGTCTAAAACCCACAAATCAAAAAAGCTGTTAGAGTGAATCTCACCATGAATAGCACCTAACTTACCAGTACCCTTGTAGTTTATCAGTTTTAAAGGTACAAAGATCTTTGTTGCATAGTAATCATCAATGTTGACAAAACTGAACTTCTCAGACTTAACAACAAAGCAAACGATGGAACGTTTTTGGTCAATGATTGCTTGATAATACAAAACACCATTGATGCATATTCCATCATCTTCATGAGGATAATGACGTATGCAACATTGGATCTTTCTCCAAGAAAGTTTTCCTGCAGGTTCCCCTAATGTCAGAACTTTGTACTCGTATAAGCCGACACAAGGCAACCAAGTTATAATCATGACCTTGAACTGCTCTTCAAACGGATCATAACCAAAATATGTTTTCTTCTTTACCGGATACCCATCTGTTGTCACTTCAGGTGTTCTCACGTACTCTCCTGTGAGAGGATTAGAAATCACCGCGAATGTATGATCCTTTTCAGTATATTCACGACAGACCAAACCATTGACCGGGGGACATATTTTAAAGTAATCTGTGGCGGACCTTGAGTGAAGAGTGGCTACCAGAGATGATGAATGCTCATCTGGATTTTCAGGTTGAGGTGAAGAGGAAATGAACAGATTCGGTCCGTATATTCCATCTCTAGCGATGAAGAGGAACCTCGGTGTAGCCGGAGACTTGATCGGGAACAAGAGGTTGTAATTTGGACGGCGAATTATGGACGACCAGAGCTTTGATACGCAACGACACTGAGCCATAGACTTCACCGGAAGTCTCGACAAGATTTGGGTGACGAGATCAACAGAAATCAGTTCAAAGACCGAATCATCGCCGGCGACGTGTTGCTTCCGTTTTGTCATGGCGATGGAGAAAAGACCCTAGATTGTGACCAAAGTAAGCGTTCTCTCTCAGTTATAAAACTTAAAAGTAATCAAAAACCACTTTCCATAAATTGGGCCTTTTGATGGTCTCACTAATTATCTAGACATTTTGTTTTCTTCGGTTTTAGATCATATGGGTACGCACATAACGTATGTTTAGAAGAAGTAAACACTTATACAAGCTAACATAATCATCTACAAAGTTTGAAAACGTGTAAATTCTACCATTGGAAAACATCTTGTATATTGGAACATCAAGTCTTACTCTTGTGATAATTTTCCTCTCGATGGAGAGATTGTAGTAAAACGTGTACAAAAACTCTCGTTGATAGTGTGGGGCGGGCGGGTATGAATGTACGATAAAAATTCCCCATGACCATTCGTTCTAGCAGGATGCACAAAAAGCTGGCTTCATTTAGCCATTGAAGGGGCATTACATATATAGATAACGTTAATTAACTAATAAAACTGACAAGCAATGGTATGTTTTTTCTTTGTTGTTGTTGTTGATCATTATATAATGGAACCCTTAAGCAAAACTCAACATCTGATCTTCTCTTTATTTCATCATCTCATTGGCTTTAGAAGCCGAAATCATAACTAAGCATAGAAATAGTTACCTCAAAAGAAGGAGAAATAAGAAACACAAGCGAAAACACATAGATAATGTGAGATTATAAGTTCTGTTTGAAAAGAACTCAGTTAGATAAGCTTCAAATCTTCAACATAGTTTGTAAATGCGTGAAACCTAGAGCCAGCTCGAAACTCTTTAAGTAGTGGACCTTCAAGTTTTACTGTGGTAATACTGTTGCTCTCAAGATTGTAGTATAAAAGGAAGTAAGGACATGTATATTTCATTTCATTCAGGTAAAACACAATACCGCAATCACCAATCATTCCGGCAGGGCGTAAATAGCTAATCATTGGGTATGTAAGAGGCAATTGGTAGATATACTTTGACCATTTATGTTCCCCAACATCCTCTAAAATCCACAACTCAAAATTATTACGGAAGATATCAGCCGATTTATAAGCACCTAACTTTTTACCCTTGTATTCGATCAAGGTGAAACTGTCAAATTGAATTTCTCAGACCGAACATCGAAGCAAACGATTGTACGTTTTCCCTTCTCCATCGAAGATGGATAATATATAACACCATCAATGCATATCCCACTAACGTCTAGTGGATACAGATTTGAGCAACATTTGATATCTCTCCAACGACACTGACCTAAAAGCTTCAATGGCAATCTCGACAAGATATTGATGACGAGATCAACAGGGATCAGATCACTGGAGTATATTATGTTTCTCCATGTGTTGACGACGGCCTACTGGATCCACACACGGTTACGTTTACGTCGGAGACGTATTGCTTCTGTTTTGTCATGGGCTCATGGCGATGGACTTATTAGCCCTAATTAACGCGTCTCTTTCAGTTACTCATACATATGGCTTACGGCTTACCCTACATGCTTCAACCTTACTGCATAAGCTGGGTTTGTTAGGGCCCAATACCTAACCCACTAATTGTATATACCATTTCTATTACAAGGAGCAATTATTCATTAGACATGTGGTAATGTTGTAGGCTTGTAGCCATTAAGCAGAATTCATATTCTTCAAAATCTCTTTACTGATTGAAATTATAGGGTTCTTTAATTATTATGGTCTTATGCTTGAGTCTTGAGAGAAGCAGTTTCTTGGTACAGTACTGTATGTATGTACTATGTACCAATTGAATTTATAAACTCAAATCAGGTTAGAAAACATTATTACCAAAGCTGATGTTGACTTACATGATTTGGAGAAATTGAGTAATCCAAGTCAAACCCCCCCCCAAAAGCGTGTTCCACTGACTTGTGTCCCAACTTTTTTTAAAAATCTTGAACCAGTCTTTGATTCTCATCTACATTTTGCCGTGAATTATGTTGCGAGAGACATATTCTTCAAAACTAATGGGCCCTCGAACGAGAACTTCAACTTCAAAAAACATCTCTTTATTTCATCCTTTTAAAATGATTTAAGCATCAATATTTCGTTCTTGATCTACTCTTCACAATCTCTGAGTTTGTCTTGATTGTGACAATCTTCTTTTTTTTTTTTTTTTCTTTTTTTTCTTTACTTTCATTTTGATCCAAGTTCATTGAAATTTCCACAATTTGTCAGCGACATGGACGAAGAATCTGCTTCTAATGGTTCCGTTTTCAGAAAATTCGAAGGAGAAGAGACTATGGGAAAAGTTCTTCTATTCGCAATCGTATCAATCTTCACAGGGATTATGTTCCTCCTCTTGCTTCATCTCTACGCTAAACTTTTTTGGTGGCGTGTGAAACAACATTTCAACCTAAACCTAATCCAATCCGAATCCGACGATCCTGGCTCCACAGTCATCAGTCGTAACCATCGACGACGTCGGTTAGTCTTCGCTCAAGCTCAAGAAGATCCTCCTGACCACAACACCGGTCTTGATTCTAAAATCCTCCAGTCGATCCACGTTGTTGCTTTCAAGTCTACGGACTTTAAAGACGGGCTAGAATGCGCGGTTTGTTTATCCGAACTCGTTGATGGCGACAAAGCTAGGGTGTTGCCAAGGTATAATCATGGGTTTCATGTTGATTGCATCGACATGTGGTTTCAGTCTCATTCCACTTGTCCTCTCTGTAGAAACACAGTTGGTTCCGTGGAAGAGACTACACATGAAGGAAGTGAGGGTTTATCTCAAAATCAAAACTTTGAATCAGGGCACTCGATTAATCAGCGTAATCAATCTCAAGATCAGAGCCCTGTTCTTGGGTTTTCGACAGAACCTGTGAGTTTTCCGACAAATGTACTGGTTTGTGGAGATCAGAACCAAGTTAGAAGTCCAAGCTTCGTTGTTTCTGAAGATACTACTTCTGGAAATTTTGCAGATTCTTCTAACCACCATCAACAGGAATCGAGTAGTACTACCAATACCTGTGACAGAGCACAAGAAGTGTCGGCCGTTGTGGTGGACATTCCGGCGGATTCAATTGAGAATTCGTCCGAGAGAATTGGCGAAGAAGAACCTAGGTCACCAATGTTCACGAAGTTAAGATCGCTTAAGAAGTTTTTGAGTAGAGAGAAGAAAGGTATAGTTTGCACTATTGGTTCAAGCGGGACCAACAACAACAATTTTTGAATAAAGAGGTAACCTGAACCCATTCAAGAGAGAGATCTCGAGATCAAAATATGAATTGGTTATCTTTGTATATCATGTTACATGTTACATATGTTTTTCTGTTAGAGATGATGATCACGCTATGGTTACATATTATAATCTAATTCTTGCAATGGCATGTACATGTTTCTTTAACAATACTCGGCAGAAATAACATTAATTGAAAACTGATGTATTAGTAAAAGGAACAACAGATCAAGAATAGTGATTTAAAGACATAGAGGCTCTATGATAGAGCTGACCAAAAAATGAAAAAGACAAGTCTCGACTTGGTATAGTTCTAACACTTGTGTTTTGGCCTTTTGGGTGTCACAATAGATATGTTATAGTCGATAAAAACTCTGCAAAAAGGGACGAAGGTTACAAACTTACAATAGATATGTCTTTATCTTGGAATTTGAATAAGAATTGTACAATTTGTACTAATAAGATTTTTTAAAAATTATTATCAAAGACAGTAAGTAAAATCTGAGTTAAAACAAGTCTTAAAACATAGCCTAGCTAGCAAAGTAACTAAACGAATAGGACTATAAATTACAATACAGACACTGATCATCTATTGAAAGAGGCAACTAGACAAAGCTTTGAAACAAGAACCCCTTCCAAGTACAACATGATAATAGGATTTAATTAGATATACGTATCTGTATTTAAGATAAAATCCAAACAATCTTACAAGGAACAATATCATAAGAGCTGAAATCCAAAATATAAATTCTCACGTAAATGAAGCCTCTTGAACTCATCATCACGAATATTACATAATCTTTGTATTTTCTACATGGTCCAGAAAGGTGCGAACACAAGTATAACCATGAAAACATTCTTCAAGTCCCTGAATATTGATTCTTGTATCAGTGTTCCTCGCTATATTGTAGTAGAAAATGCAGAAAGAGTTTAATAGATAGCTCGAGGATGGCGAAAAGACAATCTCTCCGGTACCCGTCATTCCAACAAAACAGCAATGGTTGAGAATATGTTTGCACGAAGGTGGCAGCACGCATATACGTTTGGACCATATATGTTTTCCAGCATCTTCTAAAACCCACAACACAAATCTTTCCATACAAAACCAATCGCTATACTGATGTGCACCTAATTTACCTTTGTAGTTGAACAAAGCTAAACTATGACGACGAGAGTCCATGTCTTGATTGATCTAATTTAATAAAGCTGAATTTCTCAAGCCCAAAGTCGAAGCAAACCATCTTATAACATCCATCTGGAAACTCAGCTATGTAATACATAACACCATTGATGCATATCTCACCATACACAGAATAATGGGGAAGTATTGGGTCTTGGATCGTCCTCCATAGACGTTTTTTCCCAGTCTCCAGTGTCAAAATCCGATGAGTATTGGGTGTTCCAGAACGTGACCAAGTCATACACAACACTTTGAACTGTTTGCTGATGGGATCAAAGCCAAAATGGCTATCTCCAAGACCCTTTGCTTTCACTTTGGGTAAGGTTATGGACTCCCCAGTGAAAGGGTTATAAATCACCTGCGATTTTCCTTGCCAATGTCGTAGGAAGACCAATCCACGGAGTACTGGAGCATTGATTTTTTCATTGATATTAGATGATAAATATTTTGGAAAACACTTATAAGGGGTGGCTACAAGAGTAGAGTTATCATATGGATTTTGAGGTTGAGGCGAGGAGAAGACAAACGACTTTTCATTAATTGTGAAGACGAAAAGGAGCCGTCGACGAGTTACAGTCAGGAACAGCTCCGTGAAATCATGATGGACAATTATGGATTCCCAAAATTTGGATACGCAAAGAAACGTAGCTAAAGACTTCGCCGGGACTCTCGAAAGTATATCCATAAGAAGATCAACTGGGATTGAGACTGAGTGTTCTCTTACCGAGTTTGATGATGATGGTCCGATGATCAGTAGATCCTCTGAGAACTTCTGCTTTAGATTTTTCATATTGCGGATGTTCCAAACCCTAAGAATCACTTTTCAGAGCTTACGTGAACTAAACGACGTTGGGCGAATTTGTTTTTCTTTTCCAACAGAATATATATAGTAAACGATCATAACTGTGCTTTATTAGGCCCAATATAAATCTTTATTAGGCCCAATATAAATTTTAGAATTCTAATTTTATTTTCTTCCTAACTTCTTCTGATGAATTATGTTTGTTGGGGTTTACAAAAAAAAAAAAAATTAAAATTGTTTGTTGGGTTTTCTGAGTGTATTCTCTTACAGGCATTGAAGATTGTGTATGTCTTGTATTTTCCTCATTGATGATTTTAACTTATTGGCCCAAATAATGGATGTGCAATATAAAAGGTCGTTAAGGCTGTGCTTGTATGCAGATATTGGCCATGAATGTTTCAAATAATGGATGTGCAATATAAAAGGTCGTTATGGTTTTTGGTTTTTAGATTATAGATTTTGGTTTATGATTTACAGATTTTGTAATTAAAAAAATAGAAAAAGAATATCAATTCACGTTATAAAAATAAAAACCACATTTTGTGGTTTTTGGATTTTAAGAAGAAAGTAGCAAAATCTTCTAAAATCTGGATTCCCTAATTTTCAGGAGAAATCTATATTTTTAAGAATCATGAATGGCTAATAAAATGAATTTTGCAGAATCAAAAGCCAAAAACTGATTTAAAAACAGATGTCAATCAAGGCCATTATGTTCCAAGTTTTATAATATTGAAACTAAAATAATAATTTCAACCCAACAACAAACAAAATTATTACCTAACATGCATAAAAAGTACATATAATTATAGGAACGAATATGCCTATGTATTTCGGTTACTAGATCAAAAAATTAGCATATCCTTGAGAAAGAGTCCGGGTCAAAGCAATGTTAGCCCTCATATTTATAAATTTCACATCATGATCTACGTAATCTAAGAACAAGTGAGCTTTTGTACTAATCAGAAACACTTAGCTATAGACTTCAACGACAATCACGAAAATATATACATATTATATTGATGACGAGTTGAGAGTGGGAAGATCTGTGTGTGTTGCATCGAGAGATAAGAGATTATTTGGTGATCATCCTTAGAGACTTAGCTTGCAGTTTGTTCATGGCGAGTCTTAAACCCTAGAGTCCTAAATAGATGATATAGAGAACAAAATATGATAGCCAGAGATCACTCATTAGTATAATAAAGTTACAAGCTGCACATTATTGATCACAATGAGTGAAGAATTTTGGGAATTTCTTTATAAGTTTTGTATTAAAAACAAGTTTGAAATCATAACATAACAAAATAACTAAACGAATAGGACTTGTCAACTAAAAGAGGCAGCTAGACAAAGCGTTAAAACTAGTGTTGAACTCTTATAAGACAAATCCCAAAAGAACAAGAAATCCTTGCAATTGTAATAGGATGCAACTATAGCTCTGTTTCTAAGATCAAATCCAAACAATCTTAAATAGAACAATATCATAAGAGTTGAACACCAAACTATAAATCTTCAAGTTATGAAGCCTTGAACACACTTAGATAAACTTCATATCCACTACAAAGTCTAGAATGGTCTGAACAAAAGTATAAAATGATCCTTAAACTCTTCAAATCCCTTAATATGGACCCTTGCAGTATAACTCTTCTAATCCTCTCGATATTGTAGTAGAAAATATAGAAAGGGTCTGATTGATAGCACGTGATCGGTCAAAATACAATCGCTGTTTTTCTTGTAGTGCAAACTTGTTCCTGTAGAGTGTAGACTATATGGATGGCACTATGGCAGTTTAAATATACATTTAGACCATATATGTTTTTCACCATCTTCTAGAACCCACTACTTAAAATTCTCTTTTCAACAGCCAAGTAATATATTGATTATTGATATGCACCTATTTACCTTTGTAGTTGAACAAAGTTAACTGCCTACTAGGGTACATGTCTTTATCCAATTTAATAAAGCTGACTTCTCACATGAGACACTCTTCTTTTGTCTTAAAACTTACATGAGATATAAGTCTTTTACAAGACCTTGCTTATTTGAAAAGGATAAGGGCAACATTATTGGTCACATCTTAAGGGGTATCTTAAGGCAAGATACCCTTTAAGATGTTACCAATAATGTTGGTCTAAGTGGATCGAAACAACAACTTTTAGTAAATACGACTGAAAAAGGAATTCAATATAAGAGCAAACGTTGTTTCTGTCCAAATGAAATTGCATACAAAACCACGAAGAATTGTACAAAGCTCACAAAACAGAAAAAAAAAAAAAAATAATAATAAAGGTTTAACCTGCTACTGGTGCATTTGCATAGGAATTGTACTACTAAAGATCTTTTACAAACTATCATCATAAGACAAGAATAAAAGATAGTAAGTAAAATCTCACGAAAAACAAGACTGAAAACAAACCTAATAACAAAGTAAGTAAACGAATAGGACTATATATATATATAGACACTGATCATCTATTGAAAGAGGCAACTAGACAAAGTTTTGAAACAAGAACTCTTTTACAAGTGAAACATCATAATAGGATTTAATAAGATCTGTTTTGAAGATAAAATCCAAACAATCTTACGAGGAACAATATCAAATGAGCTGAAATCCTCTTGGACTCATCATCACGAATATTACATGACCTTTATATTATCTAACTGGTCCAGAAAGGTGTGAACAAAATTAAAACAATTCAAACGCTCTTCAAATCCCTGAATATAGATTCTTGTAACAGTGTTCCTCTCTATATTGTAGTAGAAAATGCAGAAAGGGTTTGATTCGTACCCTGCGTACGGCGAAAACACAACCTCACCGGTACTAGTCATTCCAACACAATAGCAATGGCTGACGATATTGCCGCACGAAGGTGGCAGCACGCATATACGTTTGGACCATATATGTTTTCCACCATCTTCTAAAACCCACAATGCAAATATTCCCTTACTCGAAAAATGCATATCTTCATATGCACCTAATTTACCTTTGTAGTTGAACAAATCTAACCTTTTCTGAGGTTCCATGTCTTTATCATATTCAATTAAGCTGAATTTCTCAAACCGAAAGTCGAAACAAACCATCTTAGAACATTCATCTGAAAACTCAGCTCTGTAATACAAAACACCATTGATGCAT